ATGAATTTTTTTTTTTTTACTAATTAGACGATTGCCCCCCCCCCACACACACATGCAAACATATATATATATATATATATATATATATATATATACACAGTATGTATTTCGAGGGAACACTCTACAATATTAGGCTTTGGAACTGAGTGGTCTTATGTTATGTGTAATAACATTATAAAAAATAAACATTTAAATGAAGGTCGATTGTGAATTAGTGCTGTTTTAACTCCCCGAAGATAATTGAAAGCCCACTGTTACCAGATTATTCTGGATTTGTGAAACTTTATTATGGCGCGAATTTAATCAAATGTAAACATCTTGACTGGCGGCTTCTTATGGTCGTCCTGCTCGCCGATGCCTCTCAAAGTGAGGATATTTAGAAGGAATGCCCTGATTTACATCAAAGTGCCGCATGTTTTTCACTGGCCTACTTTCTCACCACTGCACACTCTCCCCCAGGTACACGTTTCACGTGATGCGGAACTCGATCAACCCTTCCCCGATTGTGCAAGGCAGGCATCTGGACCGCCTGGACACGTCCACAAAGGAGGCGTGGATCAAAGAGTGGAGGGGCTACAGGGGTGGAGGGGAGGTCAAACGCTCCAAGCTCTCCACTCCACCCTCTCCCAGCACTCCTCGGACCCCGACTTCCCCTGATTTCTTGGGGAATGAAATCACACTGAAGTCATTTAAAATATGAAAAAGACTAGAAAAGCACTGTAGTATAATTTGGAGGATAATTTATTCTGAACATTTTTTTTTACACCTGGAAGTAGCTCAGCAGTGGAGCACTTCAGCATGGAGCACTTTCATCAGGGAGAGAAAAACCCCACTCCCCTTTGACCTGTGAAAATTGTAATTCAACCTTTTTTCTTTTATTCACTTGGAGCCGCGCTGAACAACACATTAGCCAATCACATTCCTGATGGGAATACAAGGCACATGTGGTAAAACATGGCAGGAGTGGAAATATTGTCTTTCACTCTGTTAATGACTCATGATGCCACTGCCTATATGATGGAATGAATTGTCTTACAGGCTGGTCCTACACTGTACGTGATTTAAATTTTTTTTTTTTTTTACATTTGAATTGTCCTGTCGTAGTAACTGGAAGTGTGTATGGGTGTTTTAAACTATTCAGAAGCATTTTTCATTTCTTATCACACAGAAAGTCTTATCGAAATTCAATGCTTCAACTGAAACCACCTGTCAAAAGGTCTTCATTTATCATTGGCATACTTCGTTGCTGTAGTAGCACTAGCAGTGCCAGTTATATAAATGTCCCACAACCTGCAGTTTAATCACTGCTGCGCTCTAGTGTTGGACCAATACAACTGCACAAAGGTCAAAGGGACACAGACGAAGGAAGGGAGACATTAAAATGTTCCCTCATGCTTCACCTGTTTGTACAATGTGACATTTTCAAGACACACATTTGAGATGATAGTAAAAGGATGTATAGGGAACCAACCGCTAAGAACAACATGGGCGACACGAGTGTACCATGCAAAATCTTGTATTGTTTCAAATGAGGCATGCCATGTATTTCTTTCACAAATTAAAACCGTTCCAAGCTGTCTTAATTGGGGTTGTCCCAATCCATTTGACAGGATCAGAACATTTTGAGCTGATCAGAACTGCTAGAAAACTTATCAGGTTTTTAAATGTTCATATTTTATTAAGTTGCTCACATGTTTTAGTTCTTTACTTGATTTGAACCACTGCTGATTGACAGCTGTATAAAACTGTATCATCTTGAGATCGATAATAATTTCAAAAAAAGACAATGAGACAGTGTGGATGTGATCTTTTTCTTCTTCATTGCATTGCCTTGCAGAGGTATCGGATTGTGACTCTATCGCCAGATACTCAAAGTCAGGTGACTTGGACTAAGGTGCTAAAAATGTGATCGGGACATCCCTCGTCTTAATCAAAAATGTCTGATAATCTTCTGTTGAATACACAAAGAATCAAGAATGATTGTGCATGTAACAACCACTTGGAACACCCTGGTTCAAATAACTGCTCTTTCTCATACAATACAATACAATACAATACATCCTGATAAACCACTGCTAACTGTGCATTGCTGCGTCACTAGATTAAAGCAGAGTACACTAGTTGTTAGCGCAACTCAGGGGTTGCGACAAGGCAAGGCTACTCCTGACACATATGGTAGGCCATATGCCATAGACACAGGCTGTGCTTCTTCATCTCCTGACACTGTAGCTCTGCTTACCTTTCAGCTTTGACTTCATAGGATACTACTGTTTATCGGCTGTAATGGCCACCCCCCCATATCTAGGGCAAGATTTTGATGGCTATGACTTTCCTGCCAGTGCACCAAGGTGGACTACTTATTAGCATGTCTACCTCACAATGCAAGGGTTCAATTCCAGGCTCTGGCCTTCCTGTGGGGAGTTTGCATGTTCTTCCCGTGTCTGCATGGGTTTTCTCCAGATACTTCAGTTTCCTCCCACATTCCAAAAACATGTATGGTAGGTTCAAGGTTGATTGAACACTCTAAAGCAGTGGTTCTTAAGCTTGTTAGAGGTACCGAACCCAACAAGTTCATATGCACATTCACCAAACCCTTCATTAGTGAAAAATAAAAATATGAATTTTTACAAATTCAAGACATAAAAAACGCATTGATTAAAAACAGATAAAAAAGTAAATAAAATGTCAAGACATAAGTATAAGTTTTAAAAATGTTAGGACCTACTATCATGACAGTCACACGTTGACTACTGAGCGAACTAAATTTCCCGCAGCACTGATTGAACAAGCAATGTAATGTGATCATCTGCGGCCAGTGATGGCCAAGCGGGCGTGTCATAACTAATTGACAGGTTGAGTAGGTCGGGTATGTCTTAACCTCCATGGCAGAGGCTCCTCGAAACCCTGAGACCGATTCACCGAACCCCTAGGGTTCAATTGAACCCAGGTTAAGAACCACTGCTCTGAAGATACCCTAGGTGTGATTGTGAGCGCAATGGGTGTTTATCTATGTGTGCCCTGCGATTGACTGGCAACCAATTCCGGGTGTACCCCGCCTACTGCCCGAAGTCAGCTGAGATATGCTCCAGCACGCCCGTGACTCTCATGAGCATAAGTGGCCCAGATAATGGATAGACTTTAATGACATTTTCACATGGATGCAGTATTTTTAGATCCCTTGATACTCTGCTACAATTCATTTAAAGCAAATTTACAATTAATCTGAACGCAAACTCTTACAGACTCTCTCTGAAGTAAAGAACATTTGATTCTCATATTCAACATCACTCAAGATTATCACTTTCACACGAAACGCTCATTTTGTTTTGTTAAAGAAATCACATTTATACTTAATTTAATGTATTCCCATACACATAACATTTTATGGTCAATCTGTACGGTTTCAAAATCAAATTTGCCCCTTTAGCACTAAAAGTTCACCCACCCATGTCATATAATAACAAACAAACAATCGTACAGTATTTATCATCTCGTTTTGTTTTGGGCAATTTCCTTTTATTGTGTTTTAAACGAGGTCGTAGATACAAAATGTGTTTAGTCATGCTTTCACACAAAAATTGCTGCCTGCAAGACAAATACTGGGTGAATTTCGTAAACTTGTTCCTTGGCTAAACTCCGCCCATTCCACGTGACGTCGCACGGCAGCAGAGAGTCAGTCACGTCGGCGTGACAATAGGAAGATCTCTACCGGGTCGAGCTCTGTGACGGGTTGTCACAAAACTAGTTATTAAGATCATAATTAAGTGACACTTTCTTTTCGCCAAACAATGCCGCGACAACCCGTCTGCATTGTAGCACACAAGGACGGCTGACGACAAGAAGCAAAGTGGCTAATGCTACTATCCAAGTAGCTGACTGTCACTTTAATTTGAAGGTAAGAGCTTCGTATTTGCAATTTTCCCACTTGATACACTTAAATTTTTTCCCCCGACTGTTCCTTCCAAGAAAAACGGACATCTGTTTATGCATCACTATCTCACTCAGTAGTGTGTTACGACAGACGGTTTTTCCTTCAGCATAGCAAGTCAGCAAACAGCTTTCCTGTTAGCTCAAACATTGATTGAACCAAAGAACACGATATTGGAAAAATCGCACGGCACACCACCAAACAAGGGTTTTGCATCAAGTATAAATATAATAAATACTGAAATAATGATCAATGTTTTGACAAGTTGACTTCGGTGTGAAATCCGGGCCTGATAGAAGCCACAACTTCTGTTGTCTTTGTGGCAACAAACAGGTGGACACACAGGAATATAGGGCTATCTAGAGCTTACATTGGGTGGAAAAGTCAAATTTGGAGTGATCTCAAACAAGATAAGTAACTCTACGGGATGCCTATGAAGATCAGATGCTGTCGTTAATTTTTGTCAACTGTGGGCCTGTCAAGCCCTTTGCTACTCTTTTGTGGTGAAGGGATTTATAAATAAAGTTTGATTTGACTTGGAATCTCTGAAACCGAATCTCTTCCATCAACAGGATTCTTGAAATATACAAACGCAATGTGATTAAAACCTCCGATAAGCACCCAAACCTTATGTAATTAGCATACTTTATCAATATTTACTTTTAGCATACTTTATCATTTTTTAATATGAAAAGAGACTTTATGTACACACTGTTTCTTTTGGGAGACAAACAGATTTCCCCCCCTAATAATCAATTGATAATTTAAGAGTTCTATTTGTTGCCATGTTCAAACAGGTTATTCTGCTGAGACCTACCGCTCTGCTCCTCAATGCCGTTCCACCGAAGGCTTTAGTTTGAGGGTAATATTCATAAAAGTCCAGTAAGAACGGGAAAGGCACTTGTACATTTTTTTCTAATTCTGCAGTGTTTTATTCCATGTTTATGTGTAAATGTCTCCATTGCTCCAACCAGCTGTGCTTGAAGTCCTATTTTCAAAAGGTTGTAGATAAATATTCATCCATTCACTATCTGTACCGCTTTTCCTCACAGGGGTCTTAGGCATGCTCAGTTTACTAATTTCATGGCAGCCCAACACAAATGTAATGCATAAATTATCCTAACAACTCATGAAGGCCATTAAACTCTGTTTTCATACATTCATAGTAATGGTCAAGACATGCAGTTTTTCATTCTCACATAATTCATGCATATCTCAGAAATAACACCATCTACTTTGCTGTTAGTTATTGTGTGAAAGCAAAATAACTGCCACATTTTGGCACTTCGGTTACCTCTGGTGCTTTGCAACAACATAAAGGAACTGGCATTACTGGTAAAAATAACTTGAGTGAGATGCATTTGTGTTCAATTTCATGGAAAAACAATCAGAGAAAATCCCATACATCCAACATTACGGCAAAGACGTTTTGGCATTAAAAGTGTGAAACTATCATGTCAGAGTTAATTTTCTTTATTATTCCCATTGAATGATAACTACCAATAATTCAAATACTCAAATCAGTCAAGTTATTTGATTTTCAAAATGAGATTGTGTGGTATGTCTTTACTGTTAGAGATCAAATTACCGTACATGAAAATCAAGTCAAGTACAACTTTATTGTCAAATGTGCTGTATGAGCACAGATGACATTTCTTCCCTCTCAAGACAACATACAAGAGGAGCCACTGCCGGTGCCCGCGCCGCCATCAAAAGAAAAGTTAAAATGACCCTTAAACAATGAAATTCTGTTTATAATTTGCCCTCCTAGTAGTATGTGAATGTTTGTCTGATAAATGTTGCCCCGCCCCCTCCCCCTGGATTTTATTTCTTTTTTTAGAATCATGACAAAGGAAGGCAATGTGTGTGAAGTCACCCTTGGTGTCGGGGGCATGACTTGTGGTTCCTGTGTCCAATCCATAGAGCAGCACATTGGTTCTCTGCCAGGGGTGATACACATAACGGTAATTATTATTTGTTCATTTCCTATATTCTTTCCTTTTACTGCCCCATATTTGCAGTGTTGCAAAATGTTTCCCGTTCGAAACAGGATCTTAATCACGTGTCGTGGTAATTCTTCAAATCTCAGCATGTAGGGATTGAGATGTCCATTTGTATGAAACCGGTCAACGATAACGTGCAGTGCATTCTTTAGTCCCCATGCCAAACTTGATTTAAAACCAGGTAATGTCAATGTAGTGAAAAAGGCCTGGGTTTTTCTTTTTTTGGTTTGTTTGTTTACCCCTCAGGCTGAGATTAAATGACAAAGATAATGCAATTGTATGTTCTAGATAGAGCTCTGTCCTTTGCAGGACTCTGACAGCAGGTCGATACGCCGCACCCACAGGAAACACTTGCCTTTGTCTTTTCCACAATTTAGTGTAGAAAGGGTTCTGTCAGTCGTCATCTGTACTTGTGGGTAAAAAACAAAAAAAAAAAAAAAAAAAAAAAAAAAAAAAAAAAAAAAAAAAAAAAAAAAAAAAAAGACGCGCGGGGGGAGGGGGCGGGGCAACATTTATCAGACAAACATTCACATACTACTAGGAGGGCAAATTATAAACAGAATTTCATTGTTTAAGGGTCATTTTAACTTTTCTTTTGATGGCGGCGCGGGCACCGGCAGTGGCTCCTCTTGTATGTTGTCTTGAGAGGGAAGAAATGTCATCTGTGCTCATACAGCACATTTGACAATAAAGTTGTACTTGACTTGATTTTCATGTACGGTAATTTGATCTCTAACAGTAAAGACATACCACACAATCTCATTTTGAAAATCAAATAACTTGACTGATTTGAGTATTTGAATTATTGGTAGTTATCATTCAATGGGAATAATAAAGAAAATTAACTCTGACATGATAGTTTCACACTTTTAATGCCAAAACGTCTTTGCCGTAATGTTGGATGTATGGGATTTTCTCTGATTGTTTTTCCATGAAATTGAACACAAATGCATCTCACTCAAGTTATTTTTACCAGTAATGCCAGTTCCTTTATGTTGTTGCAAAGCACCAGAGGTAACCGAAGTGCCAAAATGTGGCAGTTATTTTGCTTTCACACAATAACTAACAGCAAAGTAGATGGTGTTATTTCTGAGATATGCATGAATTATGTGAGAATGAAAAACTGCATGTCTTGACCATTACTATGAATGTATGAAAACAGAGTTTAATGGCCTTCATGAGTTGTTAGGATAATTTATGCATTACATTTGTGTTGGGCTGCCATGAAATTAGTAAACTGAGCATGCCTAAGACCCCTGTGAGGAAAAGCGGTACAGATAGTGAATGGATGAATATTTATCTACAACCTTTTGAAAATAGGACTTCAAGCACAGCTGGTTGGAGCAATGGAGACATTTACACATAAACATGGAATAAAACACTGCAGAATTAGAAAAAAATGTACAAGTGCCTTTCCCGTTCTTACTGGACTTTTATGAATATTACCCTCAAACTAAAGCCTTCGGTGGAACGGCATTGAGGAGCAGAGCGGTAGGTCTCAGCAGAATAACCTGTTTGAACATGGCAACAAATAGAACTCTTAAATTATCAATTGATTATTAGGGGGGGAAATCTGTTTGTCTCCCAAAAGAAACAGTGTGTACATAAAGTCTCTTTTCATATTAAAAAATGATAAAGTATGCTAAAAGTAAATATTGATAAAGTATGCTAATTACATAAGGTTTGGGTGCTTATCGGAGGTTTTAATCACATTGCGTTTGTATATTTCAAGAATCCTGTTGATGGAAGAGATTCGGTTTCAGAGATTCCAAGTCAAATCAAACTTTATTTATAAATCCCTTCACCACAAAAGAGTAGCAAAGGGCTTGACAGGCCCACAGTTGACAAAAATTAACGACAGCATCTGATCTTCATAGGCATCCCGTAGAGTTACTTATCTTGTTTGAGATCACTCCAAATTTGACTTTTCCACCCAATGTAAGCTCTAGATAGCCCTATATTCCTGTGTGTCCACCTGTTTGTTGCCACAAAGACAACAGAAGTTGTGGCTTCTATCAGGCCCGGATTTCACACCGAAGTCAACTTGTCAAAACATTGATCATTATTTCAGTATTTATTATATTTATACTTGATGCAAAACCCTTGTTTGGTGGTGTGCCGTGCGATTTTTCCAATATCGTGTTCTTTGGTTCAATCAATGTTTGAGCTAACAGGAAAGCTGTTTGCTGACTTGCTATGCTGAAGGAAAAACCGTCTGTCGTAACACACTACTGAGTGAGATAGTGATGCATAAACAGATGTCCGTTTTTCTTGGAAGGAACAGTCGGGGGAAAAAATTTAAGTGTATCAAGTGGGAAAATTGTCAGGGTTGTCTACCGCTGACGAAGCTTCTGTGAGAGAAGCGAAACGTCCTTTTTTTTTTTTTTGTTTTTTACCCACAAGTACAGATGACGACTGACAGAACCCTTTCTACGATGGAACTTTCCTGTACGACTGAGAGCCTCCACAAGCACAATTTAGTGTCTGAGTCCTCTGGTGGCAGTCTTTATAGAAGTGGTCATGTCAGGCCTTACTTCTGATTTTCATAGGCACAAAAACAAAGTCTCGTCCAAAGTGCGAAACCCACATATTGCTTGAGTCAAGTGATCCGTTCTGTGTGTCACATGTTTCTGCTTTCTGAAAGAATAGAACAACAAGGGTCATCATGTTGTTAAAAGCATGTGGACCCAGTTTATAATCTTGACTTCATACTACTGTAATAATGCAGCTCAGATCGGGAAATACATTCATTGCAAATATAAATTAAGATCGTATTTTTGTATTCCTGTATTTTTTGTTTTTTGTAAGCAGGTTAGAAAGAGGAGAAATATCACCTGAAAGATTTTAGCATGTTGGAATAGTTAGGTTGTGATAGATAGCTTCCGATTCTGTTTTGTGGAAAATATTGAGGAAGGAAAGGAAAGGAAATAGTGGACATTCAAACAACCTAAGGCCGAACCTTAAAATGAGCCAAACAAGTAGAAACGTGTTAAAATGCCACTGAACTTCCATGTTGTTGATTTGTGTCATATTTCAAATTCTTAATTGTCATGGAAATGTAAAAAGTAGGTCACCACTGGTCGCTGACTGCTTTGAGTATAAGCTTGCTAAGCGCACTTAGCATGCCTACTTGTGGAATTTGGTGTCACCCAAAAAGCCCAGAAAAATAGCTAAACATGTCTGCAAATTACTTATTTGATGTGTCCTGAATTGAGATGCAGCGAAATATGCTGTTGTGTGTGATGTCTTGGATGATGCCGATGAAGTTTAGAGGAGTATTTATCAAGAACAATTCTGATCGTAAACTTAATTAATCCGATCTTTCATGAAGCACCGTGCTAGGGTAATCCTTTTCTGTTTCCTTTAACCTGCCTTGCACAATTAGTAGTGGTTAATGTAATTTCACTCAGTGCTTAGCTGTGTTGTTCTCAGCAACACCATTAGAGCAGTTTCCTGAATTGGGCTCTTCAAATGAGATTAGATCCAACTTTAATGTCACTACACGTCACAAACTCGCCATAGGCTCCTGCTGCCGATGAGGAAAAAGAATATAATCGTCAAAAGTGTCCAGACCATTCAAGATATATATACAGTGTGTGTATATATTATTTTTTAATTGATTGTCTCTCAAGGCATGTTTCTTCTTATTTTGTAGGTCTCTTTAGAGCAGGCGACTGCCACAGTCATTTTTAATGACAGCCAGCAGAGCGCAGCGTCCCTATTGGAGGCCATTGATGACATGGGGTTTGAATCGAGTTTATCGACGTCCGACGCGGCCACACCCGTTTGCACCGATAGCCAGCTGGTCCCAACGTCAGGGCTGATACCTTTAACTGGGAGGGAGAAAGGGTCTCAGATCTCGGGAGAGAGTTCAGCAAACGAGGGCCTCGAAGTCACCTTTGCCTCGTCTTTGACGCCCGCTCAGGAGCTCAATGAAGTCATGTTGAGGCCCTCACCGTCGCAGAACGACGCTCCGAGCAGCCCTGTGCCAAGAGACTTGCCCGTGTCGCCATCACCCAGCACAGACAGCAGAGCGGCGCTCCTGAAGATGAGCATTCAAGGCATGACCAGTCATTCCTGCACCACCACGATTGAGGGGAAGATTGGAAAATTGAAAGGGATTGAAAAGATCAAAGGTGATACCAAATTATTGAGCGTATTGTGTATTACAGTATTATCATTCTAGTTTGCAGTGGTGCTTAACTGCACTTCGCCCTAGTAAAGGACTTATCATGATGATGCAGTAGTACTATTGTAACTATAGCCCAAAATGGCTGATATTAGCTCTTCTTTTAATAATATTTTTGCCAACTTTTGTAGATTGTTTTTTTTGAATACACATTAACACATGTAAAGGTGTAAAAATTGATCAATTGTCAGATTAATTGACAATTGTCACATTTATTTATACGGTTCTTAATCACAAAGAAGTCCCCTGATCTTAATTGGTCAGTTAGTCATGACCTGAATTTTATTTTGCCAAACATCAGAATTGGCAATGGCCTAAAAAGTCCAAATCCGTCGGGCCCTAATTCCAACACTGGTGCATCAATACTAAATGAATACCTCTGTCATATTGCTGACCATTGTTCTTATCTTCTGTTGAAGCTGATCATTTTCTCTCTGCTCTTTAACTTCCCACAGTCCTCTTGGATTCTCAGGAAGCCACGATCGTGTACCTGCCTTACCTCATAAGTGTTCAGACCATTATCGACCAGATTTCTTTGGCCGGCTATAAGGCTTGTGTGAAGATCAAAACATGCCCCCTGCAACTTTCCCTGAGTGAAGTTGAACGCTTTGCTGATTCTCATAAAACAAGTGCTTCTTCAACCGTAGACACTTCTGAGGAGACAGAAACCTGCATTGACACAACTCTAGTGGCGCTCACTGTGAAAGGCATGCACTGTCGATCCTGCGTGGTCAATATCCAAGACAACATCGCTACGCTGCCCGGTGTATCCTCTGTGGTAGTCTCTCTTGAGGAAGAGAAAGCCTCCATCTGCTACGACCCGCTGAAAGTCAGTGTTGCTCAGTTGCGACAGGCAATTGAAGCACTTCCTCCGGGGACCTTCAAAACTCAACCTTGGGACTCTTCTGGGCTCCTCAGCCCTCCAGCTACCTCGCCTCCGCCTGCTTTATCTGCACCGCAAGCATTTCCTCGATCCTTTGCCAAACCTGCTGTACCCCAGCCCTGTTTAGTCCAACCTCTGGCATCCATAGCCAAGATTCACATTGATGGCATGACATGTAATAGTTGCGTCCAGTCAATAGAGGGCATGATGTCTCAGAGAAAAGGTGTGATTTCAGCGCAGGTGTCTTTGGCCGATAAGCAAGGCCTCTTTGAATATGACCCCCTCTTGACCTCCCTAGTCGAGCTTAGGGATGCCATCGAAGACATGGGCTTTGATGCATTACTATCTGGTGAGACACTCATCGTCATCAGCTTTACTGCACTAATGACAAACAGCATCTTTACTGTAATATATCACATTATTATTCATGACGTTTTTTTCCCCCTTGTAATGATTTCTCGCCCACAGAGACCAATTCCTTGACACCTGTGTCATCACCCAGTGTTCTCAAGTCTTCGAGTGTGGCGCTAGTGAAGGAGAAAGAACTGCTTGATGGCAGCCTCCTCAAAGAGATGCCCGAGGATCGCAAAACAGCCAAAAAAGACAAACTCTCAAGTGCGAACAAGTGCTTCATCCAGATCCGAGGCATGACCAGCGCATCTTGTGTGGCAAACATTGAGCGAAATCTCAAAAATGAGCCTGGTCTGTTCACATTTTATAGAGAAAATGTTTTCATTTCAAAGGAATCTTTTGCCCATGACAAAATATCAATTTTATTTTCATTTTTTTACAGGTATCTACACTGTTCTGGTGGCGTTAATGGCCAGTAAGGCTGAGGTGCGCTATAATGCTGAATTGATAGATCCTGTGAAGATTGTCGAGTGTGTGAACGAGCTGGGCTTCTCCGCCTCAGTCATGGAGAACTATGAAGGCTCCGATGTCAACCTGGAATTAGTGGTGAGTTATGCCAGTCGTTTGGTCAACGCTGTAATTACACTCACAATTTAAAAAACAAAATCCTGATCCAGTTGGAAGAGATGACTGTCCCCCAACCATCATAATTTCATACATTAACCTCTCGTTCTTCTCTTGATTCCACCTCCTTACAGGTAAGGGGGATGACTTGTGCCTCTTGTGTCCACAAAATTGAATCCAGACTGATGAGAGAAAATGGGATTAAATATGCCTCTGTTGCCTTATCCACCAATAAAGCACACATTAAGTACGAGTCCGAAGTGATAGGACCGCGAGACATCATCAAGCTGATTGAGGTAAAACACTTCTTCATGCTGTCCGGTATTTGTATTTGGTCCGTGCTTGTGCAACATGACAATATATTTGCGTAAGAGAAAGCTGCAGGTTGAATTTTCAAATTAAATCAGTGCTCTATCATGTTTGTAGAATTCGGGTTTTGAAGCATCTTTGGTGAAGAAGGACCGCACTGCCAGCCATTTGGACCATAGCAAAGAGATACGACAGTGAGAAGCATTTGATTTGACATACATATCTCCCATCCACTTGTAATTGCTTCAGGGTGTTCCCCGCCTCATAGCCAAAGGCAGCCTAATGAGGACAAGCACGATAAAAAAGGCTTGGATGAATGTCCGATCGAATGTGTCTGCAACCAGTGCAAAAGTGATCATTCTAATTACTTGCAGCAAAACTCTCAAAATCAAGGGGGCGTGTTATACAGGAGGCTCAGTAAGAAATAAAAATGTTGACATTGTTTAGGCATTTACCAGTACCTTGGCAGTCCCTAGGAGTTGTAAAAAAAAAAAAAAAAAAAAAAAAAGTAGTTAAAGAAATCTAACAGCAAAGTAAAGAAATAAAAAACAGCTTACTAAAATGACTAAAATAATGTAAAGTGCGAGAGCAAGGTTTTCGAAAATATGATTTGAAAAATACTTTGAAAGACATTAAAAGGTATGGGAACATAGCATAGTTTTGAACCTGGATTTAAACGTATTTACACTTTACTGGGATATTTTGAACCTTTATTCACTGACCACTGCACCACACCACTAATAAAGGATTCCAGCAAAATTACTTAAGTACAGGGGGAAAAAGCTTTTTGAGGGTGGTTTTGGAGGGGTGTATTCTACATGGTGCGTGCTTTTCACGGGATTTTACAATATATGAATTTTGGTTAAATACATCATGCTGTCGGGGTCCAAACAGAATTGCCATTTTAGAAATGTCAACTTTTGACCCCAGGGTTAACATTTTGAAGATGCTAAAAATGTCAACGATTAAACAAAAACGTTTCTCTGAGTACCTTCGAATGTCTTTGCTCTCCGAGGTGGAGGAAATCTTTCCTAGTGAGCCTGGTATTTTGTGTGCCGGTGATGGGCATGATGGTATACATGATCATCATGGACCACCAGATGAACGCTTCCCACCAACACAACGCCACGGCCGAGGACCGCAACCTGTACCACGCCACCATGTTCCTGGAGAGACAGTTGCTCCCAGGCCTCTCTGTCATGAACTTGCTCTCTTTTCTTTTTTGCGTACCTGTGCAGGTGAGTCATGAGGTTCCTTACCTCCCCCACACGTGTGTGTAGCTCAGTGGCCTGAAGCCTTTCTTCTAATTCTCTTCCTCTGTTTAGTTTATCGGTGGTCGCTACTTCTACGTTCAGGCCTACAAAGCAGTGACACACGGATCTGCCAACATGGATGTGCTTATAGTCCTGGCCACCTCCATAGCTTTTACATACTCCTCCATCGTACTAATAGTGGCCATGGTGGAGAGAGCAAAAGTCAATCCCATCACTTTCTTTGACACACCACCGATGCTTTTTGTCTTCATCTCGCTGGGACGCTGGTTGGAGCAGATAGCCAAGGTTCGAATGAATGACAAGGCTTGGAATGTGCCATTTGGCATTGCTGCATATACGATTTTTTTATTTGGGCGTGTGTCTTCCTTTTAGAGCAAGACGTCTGAGGCTCTTTCCAAGCTCATGTCTCTGCAAGCCACGGAGGCCACAGTCGTCGTTCTCAACAGTGATTCAACCATTCTGAGGTAATAATGCTTTGTGATCCTTTTGGCCACGATGCAACTGATTGTTCTTGAATTGCCGCTAGATAAAGGCCAACATGATGCAAGACGAAATCCATATTGGCCATTCTTCAAAGAATTATGTATTACTCACATCCAGATGCCCCACAAATTAAGTTATTATATCCTACCAAGGGAACCACAAGGCACACGATACAGTATGTATCTTGGACATTTCTTGGACGCAGAGCACACAGCAGAGATTTATTTGGCTCATGTCAACATTTTCTGTGTTTGTAACAATACATGAGATCTTAACATTGATCAAAAATGTTTTTTTTTTCTTTCTAACAAAGTAGCACTTTTTATCTTTGATGTTGTCATTACAAAGGCAGTAGCAGTGTGCATACAGCACACAATTTAGACCTGCACTGTATCATATTGAAAGTTACTTGATTAAGACACATCAAGGGGGTCAAAATTTTAGGGTCAGCTCCCAATTATAAACATGCTGTTTGTTAAATCAATACCGCAGAGTGTCAATCGAAACTGAAAGTTCTTTTTTTTAAGGAAGAATTCTTGATACAGCTCTTGTACACGAAAATGATATGCAATACAAGTGGTCGTCGTGTTGTGACTTTCAAGAGACTATTTGTACAGTATAGTACATATACTGCATATATATTGTAGTACTGACTGGTTGAATACATTTCCAGGCATGAGTTTATTGTTGACTCTGATTCCAGTGAGAATCAAGTGGATGTTGAGTTGGTGCAGAGGGGAGATGTGGTAAAAGTAGTTCCTGGTGGAAAGTTTCCAGTCGATGGTAGAGTTCTTCAGGGGCATTCCATGGCGGACGAGTCCCTCATCACAGGTAAGTCACACCATTGTGGGCAAAGAATTCTGTACCTTTATATTTGGGGCTTAAAACTGGAAAGCAGGTTGGTTCAGACGGGGCCTTTTCTGACCAGCTGTTGCTTTGAAACTTCAGGTGAGGCCATGCCCGTGACCAAGAAGCCAGGGAGTGTTGTGATTGCGGGCTCCATTAACCAGAATGGCTCTCTCCTGGTCAGCGCTACACATGTCGGCATGGACACCACGCTGTCGCAGATTGTCAAACTAGTTGAAGAGGCTCAGACTTCAAAAGTGTGTCATGGGGTTCTGGCCTGGTACTTCAATGTGGTGGTCTAAGTGTCTGATTCTCAATATTTTTCCCTTTTTTTTTAGGCTCCCATCCAACAGTATGCTGATAAGATCAGTGGCTACTTTGTACCCTTCATTGTTGGTGTGTCACTCCTTACTTTGATTTCCTGGATTGTAATTGGGTTCCTGGATTTCCCTCTAGTGGAAAAATACTTTCCAGTGAGTGTTCTAATTGAATTAGTGTATTTCTCAAATACTGTAGTGGCAGTCTGACTGAACAAACAAACTACATCTCAGACAACTCTAAAACCAAAATAAACCAGGTATGGGTATTTTTAAATTGTAAAACGTGTATATTACAAATTTCATAATTTTTTCAATTGTGTTTATTTATTTATTTTTTGCGTGTAAACAGTCGCGATAAAAATGTGCTTATTAGTTTATCCTATAGAAATTTCTCCACACCCAACCTGTATTGAAGTTTTAATGCAACTGTATGTTTTTCCACAGTATTCTAGTTTATTAAAATGCACCTGTACTGCAAAAATCCAAATCCTTTTTATTTTTTAGCACATAAATGCTAACATGCCACTCACCTATTCAAGCTTCTTCCGCTCTTGACCAACCTTTTTAACACTTCCTATAAGTAGATTTGGAAATGTTTATAATTCAAATTCTGTTGCTCCCGGCAGGGTTATGACAAAAGCATTTCCAGGGCAGAGGCGGTGATTCGCTTCGCTTTCCAGGCCTCCATAACCGTGTTATGCATCGCCTGTCCCTGCTCCCTCGGTCTGGCGACCCCAACGGCGGTCATGGTGGGCACTGGGGTTGGAGCCCAAAATGGCATCCTGATAAAAGGAGGGGAACCTCTGGAAATGGCACACAAGGTGTGGTATTAACACTACTCGGATTAATTTGAGTAACCCTGGGGAGAGACTTTTGAACAGTACTGCAGCTGCTTTGGGTTTCCTGGACAACCACCACTGTCAGTTTCACTGTGTTTAACTGAGACTAAAAGCAAGCATCTGTACACAGGTCCAGTCAGTGGTGTTTGATAAGACCGGGACCATTACGTATGGCGCTCCAAAGGTTGTCCAGGTCAAAATAGTAGTGGAGGGCAACAAGATGCCTCGCTCCCGACTGCTCGCCATCGTGGGCACAGCAGAGAACAACAGCGAGCATCCTCTGGGAGCATCTATCACCAAGTACTGCAAGCAGGTTGGTTTTGACTTCAACCACTCAATTCCTGTTTACTGAGCACACCAGCACAAGTAACGCCACATTACCATGCACGTGCAGGAGCTCGGCACAGAGTCGCTTGGCACGTGCACTGACTTCCAGGCCGTGCCGGGCTGCGGCATTCGGTGTCTGGTCAGCAACACCGAGATGCTGTCAAAGCACACAGACAGCGACAGCGATGACAACAACCAGCCTAACAGCATGCTTGTTCAGATCAGCGACACCGTCACGTCAACCAGCTCCCATTCTCTTATCGTGGACCCACAGCCACTCAGTACGTTACAGTCCCGACACTCATTTCTACTCTATGTTGTGATGTTATTCAAGTGCCGTGTGTCTGCAGGCTACGCGGTCCTGATTGGCAATCGAGAGTGGATGAAGCGGAATGGTCTGCAGGTCCGACATGATATCGATGACGCCATGACGGAGCACGAGCGAAGAGGTCGCACCGCCGTCCTGGTTGCTGTAGACAGTGAGTGCTGGAAGTCAAAACATAAGGAAAACCACTTGTTTATAAAATGAAGAGACGTTATTTTAACACTTCCTTTTTTAGATTTACTGTGTGCTATGATAGCCATAGCGGACACAGTGAAGCCGGAAGCTGAGATGGCTGTCCAAACTCTGACCTGCATGGGCCTGGAGGTTGTGTTGATGACGGGAGATAACAGCAAGACGGCACGAGCCATTGCTGCACAGGTGGGCCCAACATGTAGCAATGTGGATCGTTATTTGTTGTTTCTGTGGCCACCTCCCCCTGAAGCCTTTCAGGAAAGTAAAAATAAAATCTGCGACGTAGAAATACCCTCTCAGCATGTTTTTATAGCATTCATGTCACTTAAAAAAATGAAGGTCTTGAAACACATATTTAAAACATTACAAATACATTGGAGAATGTAAGCTCAATGAATGACACTAAACTACTAAACTAAAACAATTTTACGAACAATGTGTACTCAAGATGATGATGGGGCTGCCGAAATCTAATTTGTCAGAAAAATTGTCATGTTGAAATTCGATATCAAAAATGTTCTGCCTGCACGAGCATTGCAGTAGAACTCTGCATTAACGGTGGAAAATTATTGTCAACAAATTTGGTAAATGCTTGAAACAGTTTGAAAACGTTTAAAGTTTTTCCAAACTGACTTTATTGGTGCTTGATATTATAGATTAGATGCCTTAGATCAAGGTTCCCCCACCCCCACGCCTCCAAAATGTAAACTGTACCAAAAATAGCATGTACGATATGTGTACAGTACATGACTTGCGCCTGAGTAAATGACAGCCATAGATTTGAATAGGTTGATATGACAGTTTCAGTTTGAGATGTGTGCTTATGTGAATGCTAAGCTAATGTATTACCTTTTGAAGGGACAGTCATCCCTGCTAAAATGGACGCCACATATGTACATGCATCGCTTTTGATGGGAAAGGCGCCCCTGCCAACATGGCCGACACTATTGTCTCTCCATTGAATCCGGGATCTGTTGTCTCTGGGTCCATTAAATTGAGGTTCCGCTTTATACAGTCGTTATTTCAGTGTTAAGATACATCCCTCCTATTTGGTAAATTATACATTTCTGTTAATTCCAACTTTGAGAATTCCCCAGTTTTGGCCTCCCTAATTCTACTTGCATACCTTCTTTCTTCATTAGGTGGGTATCAGGAAGGTGTTTGCAGAGGTGCTGCCCTCCCACAAGGTGGCCAAGGTGGAGCAGCTGCAGCAGGCGGGAAAGAGGGTCGCAATGGTAGGCGACGGCATCAACGACTCGCCCGCTCTGGCCATGGCTGACGTCGGCATCGCCATAGGAACGGGCACGGATGTCGCCATCGAGGCAGCAGATGTGGTCTTGATCAGGGTGTGAATTGAATGTTTGACTTTGGCCTTGGCTGCACTTCAGTGTTCAACTTATTTTGCACATATGCAAATTTTGCAGTAGTCTTGATAAATAAAGAACAGAGCGGGCCATACTTTCCCCACTTCTGGTTTAGAAAATCTGCTGTGAGCATCGACCTAAGAAAACAATGAGCTAATAATGCACGCTCACAGTTACTGGTTATTTTAATGGGCCTCTTCTCAACTGTGCTTCACCTTTTTGGCAGTTATTTGGAACTGCTTCAAATGTATTTGTGCAATCTTATTATTAATTTTTGCTTGTGTTGACAGAATGACCTGCTGGATGTGGTGAGCAGCATCGACCTCTCTAAAAAGACTGTCAAGAGGATCAGGATCAACTTTGTCTTCGCTCTCATCTACAACCTGGTTGGCATTCCCATCGCTGCAGGTGAAAGACCACAGTTGCGTCTCTGCTCACACAGAGCGTTGACACGTCTGGATGTTTCTGACGTTTGTGATTTGCACACTTAATATGATTTGACAAGATGCTCAGCACTCTTCATGTTGACAGTAAATGTTCAAAAAGTGTGTGTATGCGTGCGTGCGCGTATGGAAAAAGAAAAAAAAAAGACAACCCCTGTTCAAATGCCAGGTTATTGTGATTTAAAGCATCAGCAAGGGCTAAATAATTTCCAAACTTTTTCCACTATTACGGTACTGTGACTTTTATCCTGTACATCTTAGGCAATTAAATGAGGAAGTAAGGTCAAACTAAGCAACTGAGATGAAAATGTGGTTCCCAAATGTCCGCATTACATTGTTTAAGTCTGTACTCTGTGTATGTAATGAAACTGTTTGTTAGTTTTCATTTTATATCACTTAATGTGCAGATTTTTTTCTTCTGTAGTCTTTTCTCAATTAAGACTATCAATGTATATACAGTACATTATTTTTCTTGTGATATAATGTGTATAATAATATACAAATACTTCTGTCGTCTCAATTTTAGTTTTTTTTTTTTAAATGCTGACATTTTCTCATCTAATATTCAGATTTTATTCTTGGGGGAAAAAGTGAATGACTATTCTCATAAATTTCCAATTTGTGGTTCTAGTAACACTGGAACTGTATTCTGAAAATGTACATTTTTTTACCTTGTCATACAATATTGCAAATATATTTTCGACTCCTTCATTATCCCAGAATTTTCTTTGGAGTTATTTGTTGTTTATATTTCAACTTCATTCTTGACTTCTTTGTTTTCAGTCATGAACTTGTTCTCATAAATTTACATTATTTTATCTTGTAATGTATTTTAGCTGTAAAAAAGGAGTGTAGTAATCCAAAATATATTACAAACCGATTCCCTTAATTCTTACCATGTTGTTCTTAGAAAGTGCAACTTTTTGTATCAAGTAACCTCTTTGTTTGAAGTAATGTGGCATCCCAGAATTTTCACACTGTCACTCATGTGTTCTTAGGTGTCTTCCTTCCCATTGGTTTGGTATTACAGCCGTGGATGGGATCTGCCGCCATGGCAATGTCTTCCGTCTCTGTGGTTTTGTCCTCGCTTCTACTCAAATGGTAGTCATCTCTTCGAGACTAACACCGCTTTTCACTCTGCCGCATTCTCACTGTCCACCTTTTGCGTAGCTACACCAAGCCCAGCACCGAGAAGCTGGAGGCCCGGCTGGAGTCGCGGCTGGGCCGCGGCACGCGACAGGGCAGCCTGTCCGACATCAGCGTCAACATCGGCATGGGCGAGCTGCGGCGATCCTCGCCCAAGCTCAGCCTTCTCGACCGCATTGTCAACTACAGCCGGGCGTCCATCAATTCACTGCGCTCCGACAAGCACTCGATCCACAGCCAGGTGCTCAGCGAGCCCGACAAACACTCGCTCCTCATGGGGGAGGCGCCGTGCGAAGCGGAGTTCTGTTGAAGGCCACCGTCACAAAGTGCCCAAGGTAGCTTCTTTTTTCAATCCCGGGCGGCTTCGCTAAGCGTTTCATCTGGGTGGAGGATGCCGTGGCGTCACACTTGATTACAAGAGAGCCTGCGCGTCCTCGTGTTGATTACGAGCACTTCAGAGCAAACTGGCTCACTTCCTCTTCTCTCTCTTTTTTCCCCCCATTTTGTTGATGTCAGAGCCATGCAGTGCCGTCAGAGCAGCCATCTGAACACGCATGTGTATCCAAAGACCTTTTTAAGTTTTAGCCCTTTTCATTCAATGTTGTATAATATGGAGTATTTATATTTCCACTTATTTATCATGTTCATCTAAATCCATGTGGGAGATTCAAATGACACTTGAGAGCGAATTGGAAACTTACGTTAGACAAGTCGAGTGGAAACGCCATCGTGGCAAAGTCCAGCACATTCCAAAGAGAGCGCTTTGGACCCAACAGTGGTCCAATGTTGCCGTGGCGACGGGCAGGCATTCACTTAACCCGGCGCTATCTGCTGTTATCTTGTTACATATGTGCTGCTCATTGCTGTGCAAGTTGTCTTCTATATGTTATGCAAGTGCATTTAGGCCATTGGTACTGATTGCATGTTGTGACGTATGTCACTGCTTCTCAGCTTCTTTGTGTCTGCTCGAGTTGTGGCACTAATTACATCTTACAGTCGTGGATGGTTTACTGCTAGGAGGGATTATTGCTTTTTTCTTCTTTCTTGAGCCCTTTTAAAGTCAGCGCATTGTCACGCAAGAGTCCAAGCCCTCGCTTTGTTTTTTGTTGTTTTGTTTTAGTTGTTGTCGCTTCCCCAAAGACGTGTGTTCTGAAGTCCGCAGAGCGTTACCACATCGGCCTGTCCAAGTGACGTCCATTGAGCGTCACATTACATGTACATGTACGGTTAAATGAAGGATGTTTGCCTTGAATGTTCTCAGTCAGCGATGGGGAACCTACAGCTACAGCTACGGCTCACAAGAACTTTTCATTCGGGCTGCCCAAAAAAGTGACCCCTGAATATCCATAATTTACTTTAAATAAACATTAATTCTATGTTGTGTATTTTTGTCAAAAAATTGGTTGGATTTGAAAATGGCCGAACTGGTTCTCCACCGCTATTTTAAACAATTGTGCCTTGGATTAAAAAAAAAAAAAAAAAGCAAAATGTCTACTTTGCTGTCTTCTGTCTAGTGCCTTAAGGTGGTGCTCTTTATTATTTGACATAAAGATCACATTGAGTCAGTGAACTGCACAAGCAAACGCCATTTAATTTTCAGAAATACATAAATCATCTGACTTATTCCCTCACATAATCGCTTGGTCTACATTTTTAATTGACACTTTCCACTAGTTGGTGTAGTAGGTTAAGATGTACAGCAATAAAGAGGGATTAGCTCTTATTGGATACAATTACGTCAAGAAAGTGAATACAGTAAATCAGTAAACCAAAATAGGATTTTTGTGCTACTCTCTCAGCTGGTCAGAGATGAAGGATTTACAAAAACCAAACAGAAAAGTGCAGCATTTCATATCAGCATTCCAACATTGTGCTTTTGTGGACCAAGACTTGTCTAGCAGGAAAACGTTACATTCAGTTCACCTTGAAGATGACAAGAACACAAGTCACGTCATACCAGCTGGAAGCATCTATCTGGAAACACTATTTAAATCAAGTTACTGATACAATACAATAGTAGATTTAGAGACCATTGAACATCTTTACAGTGATCACACCATGATGTCGGGTGATGAAATTGATGTTCACTAACATCTGATGTAAACATTTTCCGTCATTGGATAAAATTATTACAACACTTGAACTCCACATAGAGCAAATCAATCAACATTTTTGCTTGTGAGTTTTGTGCCTGTGGTAGTGGTGTTTTTGTGTTTTTTTTTTCCTCATCCCTGATTTCTAGAAGTGGCCAATGAAACGTCCGGTTCTCTGGCCAAATTGAGGATCTTCATATGACGGAAAGTGACAAGCACAGTCTAGGTAGGTGAGATGGTGTTTGCTTTTTCTAATACACAACATGATACTTTCATTCTGAAACGTTATATAACACTGACAGAGGGTCGTACAATTAAATGACATCCTGATGAGGAAATGTGAGAGCAGTATATGATACCAAAACCATCTCAAGTGCGCATGGGGGTCCTTGGTTTACGACGGAGTTGTGTTCCTATGGTAGTGATGTAATCTGAATTTATATGCAAATCGGGACTCGTTAACCTATGTTAGCACAGTCGTTGAGTCAGTAATACTGTATTTTTTTTCTGGAAAAACACTTCTTGGTTGTAAATATACAACAAATGAAAAACACTAAGTACAGCTTTTACTGAGGGTGCCTTCTTTGGCTGCGTGACGACAGATCATTGTTGCCGTTTAACCGAGGACCCCTTGTATTTGGTAAGGTTGCCAAATACTCAAAGTCTATATAGGACTCAAAATGACAACAAAAAGTAAAATAAATGTAGCGTACTATACTAAAACTGAATAGTCATAATTCAGCACAGTCTAAAATGACTTTCTGTGTTGATTAATCCTCACGGGATGCTGCTGCTCAAAACATGTCAAATTAGCTTGTTTAAACCATGATGTATCATAAAGGAACATGACCGTATTTCCTCAAATAGAAGCCTCGGCTAGCCTGAGTGAATAACTCCCGCACCTCAAATTGATGACTCCTTTGTCCAGCTCGAAAAAAAAGATTGTCACTGTCACTTTTTGCGTTTGAGTCACTTCATTTTAAGTATCTGCCGATAGAGTCCTGATTCGATGCTTGCGATGCATTGAGAAAAAAGAAACCAGAAGCATTCATCCGAATACCTTCCAATTTTACAGATGGGCCATTTCACGATGCCATTTCTTTATTGTAGCTCTCTGAAAAATCTTGTTCAACTCTAAATCAGGCAACTTCAGCCTTTTGTGTCGTCATTTTAGTTATTTATTTCGTGATTTGATTGACATTCCTCATTTGAGTAGCAGAGCTGATAGTAACAAAATGTAGTTTTTGGCACGATAGGATAAGCTAATAATATGAACTCTTGCCACATTTATGCTAACGGCATGCTGACACGAAGCACATGGTAGTGACAGCCTGGTGCTTGCTGCAGTTTGGTAAATTCACTGCCGCAGTATGAGGAAATACGGTATGTTGAACAAAACAAAAGCGGAAATGAATGTCATGAGGACTGAGGAGTGGTTGCTGGTGCTTGTTTGACAAGCAGAATAAATACGAGAAAAACAAATTGTGAGGGTTTTGAAATAGCACCAAGTTGGTCCATTACTGGTCGCCTCCATTTAAAACGCAAGGCTACCTGGAGAGAACGTAGCTTTTGTTGATGGTCACTCATTTTGCAAAAATAAAGCAAACTCATCTGGGGATAGCAATGCTGGTTACGGTCATTTGGAGGTCATGTAAATTTGGCACAACTGCAGAGATTTTTCAATAATTAGGTGGTAAAAACAATTTGAGATGCAAAAAAAAAAATGCAGATTAAAATTCAAATTCACACTATTGTTGAGAGAATCAAGAGAAAGCTGTTCATTTGAAATGAGCAGATGCAAACTTAACTTTAGCACACTGAATGAGGGGCGGCCGGCGACCTGGTCATAGCAGCGTTTGAACTCTGTGGTGGAAGGGGCTCTCAGAGCCCCTTGTTGAAGTAGACACGCTCCAGGCCCGGGTGGCTGGCCCGGATTTTCTCTTGCAGCTCAGGCTCCAGGCGACTAACTGATATAGAGCTGGAGGATGGACATGATGTATTATTCAAATGACACTGATTCCTAATTTCATACAGACTGAAGCCTTAGACACACCTCTTCTGGGGGAACAACGCGCAGCACAGTGGAGTCGCAAACACCAAGCTGAAAACAAAAATTGAAGTTGGATGAGCCAAGTGTTCACGTTGTACAAATGAGACGTTTTCTGCAAATATACTCCTAAAATTGTGGGCCGTGGCACATTTCATAATTAAGGTAGAATAGTGAGTAACTTCTATTGACAAGATTTTACAGCAAAGAATGTCGATGAAAACATGCCGGTACACTTAGAAATGACAGCAGTTTGACTGTGTAACTGTTTTTTTTTCCCTGCACATTTTTTTAAACTTGGTGCCAACTTTGGAGGTTCTACTTGCAAATCAAAAAAAGATAATAATACAGTGTACCATGCTTCATGGGAGCAACGGCAGTTAACCGGTTTGACTGTCCAAGACCACTCACCAGAATCCCACCAGGCTGACTTGAATTGGTGCACTCATCCACGGGAACCTCTGAACGGAGCATGCAGGAGAAAAAATCAAAGGCAATGAATTCCTCATGTCCTGTTACTTCTTACTGTATGAACAACATCTGACCCCCGCTATTTAGTCGATCCTCGCATCTTACCCTCAGGAAGGCCTTCTTCTCCAAATGATTCATTAAAAAGGGCGGGATGGCTGAAAAGGAAAGAAAGGGAAGAAGAGGATCTCACGAAAAGGCATCTTTGAGTATGACGGCTGAAAGAAAGTAGCTCCTCGTACCCATCCCCGGAGAAGCCATGAGGATCCTTGAGACCACAACCTGAGAGATAGCCTGCTGTGCAGCTTTGGACGACTCTCCTATCCTGTTGTCGTTCTCGTCTGTTATGGGAATGCCATGCTTCAGTTCTCTGAGGACGAGGAGCAAAGACACAACACTCTTTAAAATTAAAAAAAAAAATTCCTTATCTTTTCCAGCATCTTAAGGACAAAGCTTTGCTGTGGGGAATATGTTATGCGTTAAACTTTCCTGACACATGTAATGATTTGGGATGGAACAGTGTAGTAAATATCGGTATCTCGGTTTGAAAACTCTGACAGTAACGCTGTGGAATGTGACGATGTCAAACACCTCGAGTGTTGGTGTATTGAAGTGAAACACTGCCCTCTCCTGTTAACGTTGACGAAGTCCGAAGCGCTGTACGCGTCTTGGTCTCTTGGGGGCAGTGTGCGTGTTTGTGCTGGTGTGTGTGTGTGTGTGTGTGTGTGTGTGTGCATATGGCATTTTCAATAAACGAACAAAAGTTGGAGAAGTACTGTACTTAAGAGTTGATGCGTCTTTCAGTGAACTCAGATCTTACCTCTGCCTCATTAGCGGGATGTTGATACAATTTGCAGCGGCTACAGCAGCGAACGGAACAAAGCGTCCGATCAGAGGTGAGACATGCTGCAGCGGGAGACAAGAGGCTTAAAAAAAAAACACAGCGGGGGAACAAGTTCTATCTCTGAAATGGTGTACGCATTTAAGCTTCCCGAGCATAAATCAGCATGAATAACGCTGAGCTGGCAGGGAGACACGCCGATTCCAGAGCACGACCCCGTGAATAATTAGGCTCCTCTCATACAAAGAAGCTATTTGGGCGCGGCTAACATCATGTCAGCACTACCCGAGAGCTTGAGGTCAGCCCGTTAAAATGAGAAGTAGAATGGAGTTAGATGATGATACCTTTGTCAGTGAGTTTAGTCCGAGCGCGGTGGCGACTGCCCCTGTGGTGGCCGAGACATACGCTGTGCCAAGCTGACTGCAAACCAGAGAAGCACATCCGCGGTAAACGAGAGGGCTCGTGGCATCCAGGTGTGATGGCGTACCTGACTGTGATGGGAGCGTCGCCGCTCCGGTTGGTGTAGTTCACGATTGCGTTGAAAGACTGATTGATCCACTGCCAGAACAACACAGCTGGAGTGGTCCTGGGTAACGCGGAAAACAGACAATGAACACTAAAAATTTCTCATGCATTTTGAATGATCATATATATACCTAAATGTATATATTAGATCATATATTTTGAATCTGAATATTGGTTTTGACTTAAAAGAAGCACGTGCACTGAACTGAATCTATCTTTGAAGGAAACACCACATTTACAGAACTGGCAGGCTCATTAATATTGTCAAATGACAACAAGAAACTCTTGGCATCATACCCTCTCGAACTTAAGCTGTACCATATCAAATGGTCATCGAACGGAATTGTTCACTTTAAAATTAAATGTCCGTGAATCATCTCGCAACACACACTATATCGAATCAGCTTTTACGAATCAACGGCACATTTTAAAGTGGAGTGGTTTGATTTTTTTCAATTTGATGCATTCACATGTTTTAAATCACCACTATGGTCAATGAAATACTCAGTCAATATTACCTCAACTAGGAACTTACACATAAGAAAAAACACGTTGCCAATGGATTTTTTTTTTAACATTTCAATGGATACACGACTAACTACATCTAATTATAAACTGATTTCTCCGTTCCAATCAAAGTCATTATAGGCTTGATTTTCAGATGTTTCTAAAAGGTTATCTCCTGGGCGGGTGCCCGCTTGATCTTATCGGAAAGCCGTAAATGAACATGTGTCATTACAAGACATCATGTCGCCTCTGATGATTGCAGCCAATTTCTGCACTCAGTTTATCCTCAATTGCTTCAAGACGCCATTAATCAGTGAAAAATTCCTCACGAGATTTAAATGAATTAGTTCAAAGCTATGAAATCCGGACTGCTGTAATGTTTTCTTCAAATAACTTTTCCATTGTGTGTGCATATGTCAATAGAGGCAGGCAGCATACTGAAATAAGTCATATGTGACATCAAAGTGCCCTTGGGCTGCAGTGGCGGATGCTGGTCTGTCAAGGAGGGGAAGCTAGATTTCGGCCGACATCATAAAATGTGTCCGTTTATTTATACGTGAATTCTACTCTCCGTTGCTTTTCAAGAAAATGATCTGTCACCCTGTCATACCAACAAGGCGTCTTTTCCAGGGACTTAACTAGTGTCCTACAACTACAGCAACTATAATAAAACCCACCAGAAATAAAAGATTAATTCGTTGCTAGTCGTTTTCAACAAAGAGAGTGTCGCTAAGATGATTAGAAGAAGCCTCCAGTTCAACTTAGAACAGAATGAGAATTGAAAGATGCTCCCACGGATGCTGGCACCAAAAGATCAGTGATTGGCTCATTTTGCTGTCAATGAAAAAGAGATTCAGCCTCAGACAGATCATCCAATCATCATGCAGAAAAGCTCAGCGTTCGAGCCAGCCGATACACGCCCACTGTCCATAGACTCCCAGAGACGCTGAGCGTCCGGTGGGAGGGACCACACCCACACTTATACTCGTCTCGTTTCAATGCATTGGGACAAACTACACTGCTGAGCGTCCGCGCTGTAGACGCTCAGCATCCACACAGTTTAAAGCCCAGTGAAGCTGAGGGAATGAATGAGAAGAGAGTCGCGTCGTAACCAGTAATAAGAAGCAGATTCGGAATAAAAGTTGAGCGCATTGTAGCGCATATTTAGTCAATGACATGTACACACAATTGTATGTGCAAACCTATATTTGATCACTTATTTTTTGACATTTTAGGGGAAGCTGAGCTTCCCTTGCAGCCTTAGAGCAATCCCCTCTGTTGAGCTGGCGTTGCAAACATTAGGTGACCAAAACCAGAAAACAGGTGAGCTGTGACAATAGCAATGTGAGACAGCAGAGGGCGGTATAGTACAAAAGCAATTCATGAAAATGGATGGAATCATTTGCTTAATTCTTATTCCGCAAATGCAATCTTAATTAGAATATGTTGTGTAGACGAGTGGAGGCGCATATAATTAATTCTTGTCGGAAAAAAAGCCTTTAGGTCATAAAGTGGCTACAATGCACTAATTGAATAACCCACGATTGATGTGCCAATGGTGTGCCAATTGGTTTGCAGAGGTAGTGTAGTGGTCCAGTCGCTCTAGTTATTAGTAGCAGCAGCAATTGGAGAGTAATAACTGTCAAGTTCTTACTTGTAAAATGTCATCATGCATCCAGTGATGGTCATATTCATCGGAACTTGCGCTGACATGCGGCCAATCAGGATCATCTTCTCTCCGGTATCCGGATGGAAAGCAGAGTCAAAAACATATTTGGCTCGCCACAGTTCGTCTTCCGTCAGCCCCGGGGAGACGATTCCTTTTCTAGGGGACGGTAAACATCAGGATAAGAATTCAGGATTTGGGGGTTCGGCGGTGGCTGTGGCAGCTGCGGCTGGCTTACCTGTAGTCAGTGATGATTTTGTGCGCGCGTTCGAGCTGTTCCTTGGTGAGGAGGACGTTCCGCGGGTCAGTGACGGTAAAGAAATGCTTGGCGCGACCCGCAAATGTGCTTTGGTCCCAACGGGGCTCGTTGATGTTTATGGACGTAGAGAGCTCTGCAGCCATTTTTATCTGGTGAAAGGAAATTCTGACTTTAAATTGAAAAGGACTATTTCCTAAAATGGTTCAGGTCCTATTTGGAAGAAAGTCGTTATTTTGTGACCACTGGAAGCTTTGAATTCAAGAGAATGGCCATGACGTATGGGGCCCTTCAAGGGTCACTCAATGGACACCTTTCAGTTGGGCTGTCAATGCTACCCTTGGGTCAAATTTTTCGGAAATACTGCTTTTTACCAGATGAAAAACACATCCAGAGTGAAGCGATGTATGCTCCAAGCAGACCAGGAGAAGCCTATTCATGCTTTTATCTCTCGTAGACTTGATTATCGTAACCGTCTTATGACTGGAATGAATGGAAAAGAGCATCGAACAGCTGCAGCTCATTCAGAACGCCGCAGCTTGGGTTCTGACCAGAACAAAGAGATCAGAACAGATTACTCCAGTAGAAGAGGCTTTATACTGGCTCCTAGCTGAATTCTTTTTAAAATTATACTACTGGTCTATGCATCACATCACAGACTTGCATCGCTGCTGTAAATTGATAACCCTTCAAACTGGACTGCATTAGAACATACAATACATGAGATAATTAGTGGTGATGCATTATAGTTGTCTACAACTAGTTATTTTCAAAAAAGGACTTTTTAAATAAGACCGTTGAAATGGGTGTCATTTTTACTTGCAGTTATGTACTGTGTACAATGTTACCATGACTACGCTTCCTATTCTATACCATCCATTCCAAGCTGCAAGCAGATTTGAAGGGTTTCAATGCAAATTAAACAGTAATTATTATTTTCATACATCATGGTTTCTGTCAGGGGCACATTGAGCAGGCACACAGAGAGAAGCTCCTGGCACACAGAGAGCCAGATAAAACTGGCCGGCGCTGCCATGAACATGTTCTGCTCCTTGCTCCCAGTCGGATCTGGTTTTTAACCATTTTCACTCCATACTTAAAACTCTCCGTAAGGATTTGCTGCAGGATGATGAAACTCCTACTGGAATTGCACCAAACATGGCTGCTGGCCGGATTGACTGACACATGAAACACTGATGTCGAGCTGCATGTGCGGTCTCTTTAAATTGAATTAAATTCTCACGTGTTGGAGAAGCACACGCACCCGCGCGCGCGTACAACGCCACTTTGCTTGATGCTGTACTTTATATGACGCCCGGCGCGGGTTGCGATCACGGCGCGTTAATAAATACTTTTAATTGCTGATTAAGGTGATGTTGGAGGATGAACTTTGATCTGCAAGCCCTTGCTCGCCTGTGCCCTCACTCTCAGCCAATCACAACGGCCCTGCATGGCTACACATTAACCACCAAATGCTTGCGTACGATCGATATCATACATCACATTTCACCTTCTGTTTCATATACTGTATTTCCATGTATTTTATAGAGATGGGGTACCTAACCGATCCTTCTCTGAGAAGTGCTAAACCCACTCCTTGTGACGACCTGACCCAAACCAGTCTGATCTGGACCGCGTCTTGAGACAAAACAACTGGGAGAAAATGTTTGGAAAAAATGTACTGTATATGCAATTACAAGTGAAGGTGAATTTGGCGATGCAGGCAGCTGTGCGTCCAGGATTCAACTAGTATGGAGGCGCCACATCCACACAACCTCGGCGCACGCGCACACACACGTTCGCTGTATCCCTGCCACCTGACGCCAACATCAACACATTTCAATTTCATTGAAACACGGATTACTTACTGCACTGAGGGCGCTGGAGGTCCGTGAGAGAGGTATCCCTGAAAGGCTGCAGCCAGCTAATTTAGCGAATCAGTAACACACAGACACGGCCACATCGCACACTCCCCACACCGGAAGCAGCTACGCTACAAATTAAACGTGAGGAGGAACACTCGCCCCATTGCGAAGAGAAACATGCAGTAATTATATCTGGATTCTGCTGTGTAAAGAACTGAAGTGACTTACGAACACACGTGAGTAACAATTTAACTTCAACGTGTGCCGGTTGCACGAATATGCTTTTGTTTTAACTTCAACTTCCGGTAGTACTCCGTCACATGTGCTTACTTGATGCCTTTTGGTTCGTGGTGGTTCCTTACATTTTTTTTTCATTTGTTTTGAAACATTTCTCACATCTGAATTGAATTTATCAGAACTACTTGCGCAATTTTCAAATCACTGTGTCACTTGTGTGCGTCAAAAATGCAGTTTCTCATTTCTCTGAACAAGTTGCAAATGCTTTAACGCATCCATGCAAATCATTGTTCACTTCTCTGCTGTTTCGACATGAACAATTGCTTATGTCATTCATTCATTCATTCATTTTCCGATCCGCTTTATTCTCACAAGGGTCGCGCGGGGTGCTGGAGCCTATCCCAGCCGTTTTCGGGCAGTAGGCGGGGGGACACCCAAAACCAGTTGCCAGCCAATCGCAAGGCACACTGAGACGAACAAACATCCACGCTCACACTAACACCCAGGGACAATTTTGAGTGTTCAATCAGCCTGCCATGCATGTTTTTGGAATGTGGGAGGAAACCGGAGTACCTGAAGAAAACCCACGCAGGCCCGGGGAGAACATGCAAACTCCACACAGGGAGGTCGACGTGCTAACTACTGGACTACCGGGCTGGCCTGCTAATTTCATGTTGATTAAAATGAATGAAAATTGTTCTGTTTATTTGTCACATATGCCACAACATCTTGGCATCAGTTCATCAAATAAGTCTTTACATACAAAATGATTGAACAAGTTGTCAATACGTGAAGCGAGACGTGTAAAGAATTAGATCAACCAATGATGAACCCGTTTCCGGAAATATCTTATAGCAAGTGAAGATAATTGTTGTGATGGAGATGAGAAATCTAGGCCCAAAGGAAGGAAGACCACATTGTAAAATTCCTGCAGTGTTGGATGTACAATTTTCCTTCAGAATGCCCCGTGTTGACATTTCTACTTTTTTTTAGGACTTGCTCTGTTTCCTATGTACTATACAGTGCTGTCTTTTTTTTTTTCTGTATCACAATGAGCTGGGTTGTCACCAAATTACAGCACAAACAAACATTAAGTGAATTGTGAATCTTACCCAGTCTCTTACTATCAACCTTCCACATACACAAAGGTGTAAATTTCAATTTTGAATACTGGAGTTGTCATCCAAGCTTAAGTGGCAGGTGACAGCAGAGCTTCGCTCCAGAGTATACTGTTATATTGACAAGATGACTAAGCAATTTGACTGGGTTATCCGTACACAAGACAAAGTGACATAAATATTTACTCTTGAGAGAAGTGGTAAGAATTTATGTAAGAATTTTAAGAAAGTGGCATTTGCAGGGGAACCATGATGTTTTGCTATTTGTACCAATTGCTTTTAGAAATGCACTTCATGTTTTGCAAATTTCAATTCTGCTCTGAGAATTGAGTGAAGCTTTGAGTTCAAATGCCAATCACGGCCTTCCAATTTTATGGCATTTGCGCGTTCACCCTGTGCTCGAGTGGGTTTTTCTCTGGGTACTCCAGCTTCCGCCAACATTCTAAAAACATGCATGGTATATTAATAGAAGAATCCTTGTGGGTAGGGTTTGTCTTCAAATATTTTGACTCAAATTTATGTACAGTGGATTCATTAGTTTCATGGTCAACTGTCACCACTAAGAAATCTTTCTAAGAAACATTTTTACATTGTGTAGAGGTCAGTCATTGTACTGTATGACTGAATAAAACTAAAATGAAGTAAAATACAGTCATCAATACTTGAGAGACAGACTGTAAGACTTAGGAAGGTTTTTGCAAAGCCAAGTGACCTTGGTTTTTGCGCTATCAGGCAACATATAACACTCAGACATTTTGAAACTTTTTATTCCAATTACCACCTGAAATTGAATTAATTTCTCTTGACCAACATTGCACTACAGTATTACATTTGTGTTCATCAAAAATACTGATGTTTTATTTGTCAGCCATTCTAATGTTATGAAGTTCAAAAGTTAATACTGTGATTAAATGTAGGGGGGACTACTTAGTCAGTTTTAATGCGTTTCAGATAAAAAAAAAAAAGAATATATGTGAACATTGTACCTGAATAATGCTAACAGCGTTTAAAAGATTAAATGCAAATGTACTGAAACTGAACTGTAATTGTGCCGTGATTCTTTCTTGTAGCACTACCAAAACATTTAGGGAGTCACTGGATTAAGTGGTCTTGTTTGACATGCCAACTTCTTGATTAATTTTGGATTAATTTGTGTTAATAAAGACACAGGGTGCATATTGTCCTGAGAAGAAAAGATACTTTTCTATGTCATGCTCAGTTTCATTTCCGGTTTTGTGGCTATTACACTGTTCAGCATTGACAATGCTGGTACCCTTCTATGGCATTACACAAAACCACACAAAAGCCAAGGAAAAAAAAATCTGCATGTCGTATAAATCAGGGATCCCCAACCGCCGGTCCGCGGCCCGGTACCGGTCCGCAGGGCATTTGGTACCGGGCCGCACAGAAAGAACTTGCCTTAATTTCGTTTTATTTATTTCGGAATATGAAAGCTGTTTTATTTTGAAAAATTACCGGATTCTCCATTACATCCGTCTGTGTCACGCTTGACTCACGTCAAGCCACGCTTCTCCGTCACGTGACCGATTACGCTTGAAACAAAACGCTGGAGCTCGCACCGTCACGTGACCGATTACGCTAAAAACAAAACGCTGGAGCTCGCAAAGTGAGTAAAAAAAACTGCTGGAGATCGCAAATGACGGCGGCCTTAAAAGTACGTTCGAGACAACTGGATTAAAGTTATGGCTGTATACTCTGAGATCGCCACAACAGCACTGTTGCTATTTCCGACATACTACCTGTGTGAGGCGGGGGTTTTCTGCAGCAACGCACCTAAAACAAAATTATGAAGTAGACTGGACATAAACCACACACTTGAGGTGTCATTGTCTCCTATTACCCCGAGATGGGACCGTCTGGTTGCAGAAAATCAAGCTCGGGGCTGCGGTGAGTCGTCATTTTCATGCACTTTGAATTTGCATTGTATCGTATTTTGAAGGCATTAAACATTACCATAGCGATCAGAGTGTTGCGGCCAGATTAGACGATCCTTGTGTTTATTATATTTCGAAAACACCTCAGTTTTTATGCAGCTCATACCATGTTATTTTGTTGTATTATTTCCGCCACACCTTAAATGCCGGTCCCTGAAAATATTGTCTGACATAAACCGGTCCTTTGGGCAAAAAAGGTTGGGGACCCCTGGTATAAGTTATTCACATCTTTGTCTCTTTATTTATATATTTATTGCACATAGAGCACATAGAGCACTGAATTTACCAGATGCGTTTTTATATCCTGAATAGTTTCCGAGATATTCAATGTCAAAATGTGCCCAAGACTTTTGGAACACAATGTATATATAAAACCCAGAAAAATGGTTATAGTCTAAAGTCTGTTTTGACATTGGAGGTTTCACTATACAGTAGTTAGGACTCATCTGCCCCTTAAAAAAGGTAGAACACGTCATGGCATTCCAGAGAATTAGAACGCTTCCCTTGTGTCCAATTAGATTACGTGAATACTCTATTCATAAAGCCTACGAGCACCATCTGCATGGCATCTGGCAGTTCATGATATGCATCAATGTCTGAAGCACTCTTTTTTTCATTAGGGTCATCTTCACCACTGATACCATTTTGCACTATTGTCGAGTGTGCAAAGTCTGTGGCCATTGCTGTGTTATAACACAGTACATTGAACAGAATAATTTCAGCTCTCTGATAATCATACATCACTGCCCGAAGTGCTGTCATGTAAATGTCCTATTTGACAATTGTTATGCGTAGCAACTCTTTGACGTGCAGAGGGTGATGGTAGAGCTCCTACTTCCACTTCTTCATAAATACCGCTAGCACAAATGTGTTGACCAGTGGTCACCATTTGGGAGAGCTTTAGAGGAAATAATCTGGAAATCGCCACGATGATTGGGGCTCTTCCTTGCGGGGGGCTGCGTCAAACTGTTGGCTGTCAAGCAAAGGGATATCTTTTGTCAGTGCAATTTGGGAAGTCAGTGTAAATCCAATTATGGCATCTGATCTTAAATCTTCCAAAAAACTAAAGGAATGTGAGAAAATGACTTACAAGGAGCATTTCAGTGTGTCTTCAAGTTCCATGATCGCTGCCTTGTTTCCACAACGATAACAATAGTTTGGCGCACTGAAGATCGTCACGACATTTTTGTCATGGCACCAGTTAAAGCCCTGAATGGGGAAGTGTGAGGGTTATAATATCAGCCTGTATTGGACAAAACAATATATGCATATGAAAGAAAAAATGTTGGCACCCCTGTTAATTAAAGAAAAACATGTAATGATCAGAAAAATAACTTGAATCTGACAAAAGTACTAATAAATTAAAACGTGATGAAAATTAACCAGTGAAAATCGGACAATGCTTTTGAATTGTGGTTAAACAAAAACATTTAAAAAGTAAAACATTTTTAAAAGAGGCCTGGTCAAAAATAATTGTACCCTGAGAAAAGGTTGAAAATAACGTGGCCGTAGGGACATTGTGAACCAAAGTCAAGTCAAGTCAAGTGCTGTACAACTTTTGTATCAAATGTGCTGTATGTGCAACATACAGCACGGATAAAATTTCTTCCCTCTCAACCAGACAACAAGAGGAGCCGCTGCGGGTGCCCGCGCCGCCATCAAAAGAACAGTTAACATAAAATAACAAAATAATACAACACAACACAACACATGAGACACAGATAGTGTTTGCTCTAATTAGCATCGCAAGTGTCTTCGATCTCATAATCAATCAGTTATCTTATTTATAGCGTGATCAGTAGTCACTGTGCTGTGACATAGTGTAACATGGACATGGACCAGAGGAAGCAAAGGAGGGAAATGACTCTGAAGATTAGAAATAGAATGATTGACAAGCATGTTAAAAGTAAAGGCGATAAGACCATCTCCAAGCAGTTTGATGTTCCTGTGACTACAGCTGCACATATTCACAAATTTAAGATCCACGAGACTGTAGCCCAACCTCCATGGATGTGGCCACAGGTGGAAAAGTGGCAGATCGTAAAAACGGCAGCAAAAGAATCCAAAACAACCTCCCAAAAAATGAATGGAGACCTCCCAGGTCAAGGTTCATCAGTGCCAGATCCCACCATCCGTCAATATTTTAGCCAAATTGGACTTCATGGGAGAAGACCAAGCAGGACACCAGTTTCCAATTAAAAGACGTGTTGACGAGCCACAAAAGCTTCTGGGAGAATATCGTTTGGACAGCGGAGACCAAACTGGAACCTTTTGGCAAGGCGTGTCCTCTGTGTGTGCAGACCAGGGGTGTAGTGGGCGTGGTACGCGGGGGTACGCCGTCCACCCACTTCTCCCGACACCACATTCAATTTTTATTGAAATGTTTGTCGATCATTGTTCTAATGCGAGTTATGCTTAATAACGTTGGCCTGTGATTATTTTGGAGTAGTAAAACATTAAATTTAACGTTAGTTCAACTGGTTTTGCAGCCTATGATTGATGTTCTGTATGTATATATAGAAGATCCCAGAATCGCGTACACCCACTTAAAAAATCCCCACTACACCACTGGTGCAGACACACAATAATGAAGCACAGCAAGAAATGATCTCTCGACTGTCAAACACGGAGTACGCTCTAGGGCTACTTTGCTTCATCCGGCACAGGGTGTCGTGAACCCGTGCAGGGTACAATCAAATCTCAGGACTATCAAGTTATTCTAGATGAGAAATGTGCTGCATACCACTTGTTGCGCAACTTTTATGGTACATTAAGTGTCCGCATATATGTAGGATTATAGACTACCAAGGGTGCCCGGTTCTAGTTTCTAGTTGTTGGAGCAGTTATGGTAATCTGAGCAGATCTCAAAATGGGAGCCTGGTTGTTTTATTGAACTTGTATGGTACATTGACTGTACATATTATGCACCATCCCAAACAATTGGGATAGTTATCTCTGTAAAGTCAACATTTTTGATATTGATTGATTTTTTTTCCCCGCCCGTGCAATGGTTCCCATTGGATTTAATCTTCTGTACCTCCATCTCCAGCTGGTGTGCTCGTGAAACCAAAATGAGGCCGTTTGCATGGTTAAAAGTCTCTGAGATGTCCTGCCCAAAGGTGTAACCGGCACCACGAAGAGAAATGTCCCATCCATAGTGCTCGTCTGGGTCAGACCACAACAAGTCACACATTGGACCCTAAATGTGGAGAAAAATAAATGGTGTTCATGCCAGCTCAGACATTAAAGTCCAATAAGAACATATGTGCAGCCAACATTCAAATCGAACATCTGTCGCTCGATATTTAAAATATTTCATTTCTGAAGTTCAACATTGAGCATTTACTGCACATTGGCATGAGACCTGTCATGTCATCTGTACCTCGTGAGGAACCTCCTGCAAGCGATCCAATGTTCGGATGTTTTCCAGTGTGACTATTGAAGGAGACAATCCTCCATGTAAACACAAAATCTAACCAAAAAAAAAAAAGATGAATTTACTCCCATGGCCTTGATGTGATTCACCTGAATCTTGTGCAGATTCTCACCTGGTTATCTACCAGAGCAGTCAGGGGCAAATAATCAAAAAGATCAGTAAAGTACTTCCAAACAGTAACATTTCCGTATTTCATCAGGCATTCATCGTAGAAGCCATACACGTGTGTGAGCTGTCTTGTCTCATGGTTCCCTCTCAGAATGGTGATTCTTTCACGAAACCTGACCTGTGAGCCAAATGTCAACAGCTCAACCAAATCAGGCAGGAGTCGTCTTTTGCTTTTGTGCAAAAGCAGTTATAGTGCGGTATTTTGTTTTTATACCTTCAGACAAACAAGAAGTGTCACTGTCTCCACGGAATAATAGCCTCGATCCACATAGTCTCCCATGAAGAGATAGTTGGTGTCAGGGGGCTTCCCGCCTATCTTAAAAAGCTCCATGAGGTCATAAAACTGACCGTGAACATCTCCACAAACCGTCACTGGACATCTCACCTCCTGAACATTGGACTCCTTTTGCAGGATCTCTTTGGCCTTGACATGGGGGCAAAGAAAGCATGTTAAAATTCATCCCTGGCAGTCTTCCCAGTTGAAATGGATGTTTGACTTCTATAACTGTCAATGATGGTGGATGAGATGGCGATCCTATTATGCATCACGGGTGTGGACAACATATGTTTGGGAATTGGACAAGGACCTTCTCGTTCCAATACTTTTGAAAAGGACTGCATGTTAAAACTGTCTGTATAAAGTGACAGTACAACATTATTAAAATGTTTTTTATGAAGAAACTCAACCTTCCCATTTTATGCCTCTAATTTCCTTTTAATTATTTCATAATTGATTTACTCCCATGCTGGACGTTGATTTGCTTTCACACGCCGCCGGCGCACCTGATAAATTGGTGACAGAAAGTACCGGTAAGCTAATCTTTTGAGCAGATAAAATCAGGTTTTAAAGTTGTGGTGCAGGTAGTGTAGCACGATTATTTTGAATTTGAGCATGGTGCAGGCGGTTGTCATTGGAAAACGCATCCATCAAAACATCTGAATCAATGTAGAAAATAATTCATTGATGACATTATTATTATCATCATCATTATATTTTCAAAATGGATGGATTATTATTATACATTTAATATGTAAACATGGTTAGAGGGAAGGCTTATTTAAATTCTGCCTCATTAAGGCGCGGGCCAGCACTGAATTCATCTCCCTATTTTCTACAGTGAGTCTCATCATAAGGGTTGGGAGTAACAAATAGCAAGAAACAAATTGGAAGGAACTTGTTAATTCAAATATTAACATTATTTACAGACAGTATGATAGTGGATTCAAAATGGTGACATAAAAGAATGTAAATATTGCAGTTGTTGTATTTTTTCCCCCCTGACAGCAAGTCCTACCCTTTCACAAAGTTCTTGGACTTGATTTTCCCTGAGCTGCCTGCACTCAATGAGCTGTTCAATCCATAAATCCAACTCTTTGTTTGCTGACTTGTCATCCATGTCTGAGTTGCTGCCTCCTTTCAAATCAAAAAGGAAAAGCATCAGGACAACATAAGCAGGCCACACTACGTCCTTACAGAATGAATGAGAATTTATTTGAGTAATGTTTAGCCCGCGTCATCACTTCAAGGGAGATGGTTGCTTTTGTTTGTTGTTTTACATCATAGAATTGACGTCATTTTAACGTGCTCTTTATTTCAGGTTTCATTTTTGTTGCCTCGCCTGCCCTCTACTGGAAAATGTGGAACAGTCATGACATGATGCCAAAATGAGAAATTGAATACTTGCCACAATACTGAATAAGATAAGATAAGATAAGATAAGAAAACATTTATTCGTCTCGCAATGGAGTAATTCCCAATTCACAGCAGCAAAGTTATGAAAGGAAGAAGTAGGATAATCCGTGTTTTAATAATCCTGCATGAATCTATTTTATATTTATATTATGATTTTGTAAATCTCTTTCTGTTATTTTATTTGTATTGCATAGTACGCATCGGTTCCCATGTTATCTGAAATTTTAAAACAAAGAAAAAGTGACTCATTATTTTTTTTTATTTTAAATCTACCACACACGCAAAAACGACATTTGAATTTTTTTTTTCAAAATCCAATTTTAGGCTGACAAACCCCTCCCCCCCAAAAAAACACGAAACTGAAAAACAGCCCCTTTTAGGATACATTTTTTATTATCATTTTAGGTTTACCTGGCACTTGAGAAATTCTTTACATTGTGATTTTGAAAGCTATTATTAATATTTAAAGTGTTTTGATCCCCTCCCTCTCTTGAAACTATTTTTGGAGTTTGATTTTGTCAATGTCTTTGTGGTAGTTTAGTTGTATTGCATAGTACACATCGGTTCTCATGTTATCTGAAATTTTAATCTTTAAAACAAAGAAGAAAAAAATTATCACACCAGCCTCGTCACGTCCAGCATTTGTTATTTACCCACATGAGAATTTTGCTCCCATGACATGACTAAAACTTTACATAATGTCATGTATTTGTTAGGTATGTCTGGTTTCTTTTTTACCTCTCGGGCTCGTTGATTTTTTTTTTTTAATTTTCTTTATTGAACAAATCAAGTTACAAATCACAGTAAACAGAACGAACAGGTTGTTAATACATGTACAGAATACATCTTCGTCGAGCAATCTTAACCACTTTTTCAACAAAGTGTATGCAGGAAAAGTGGTTAAGATTGCACAACTGTCTGTGTTTTATGTGTTGTGTTGTATTACTTTGTCATTTTATGTTAACTGTTCTTTTGATGGTGGCGCGGGCACCCGCAGCGGCTCCTCTTGTTGTCTTGTCTGTTTGAGAGGGAAGAAATTTCATCTATGTTGTATGTTGCACATACTGCACATTTGACAATGAAGTTGTACTTGACTTGACTTGACAGAGTTAAACAAAAAGAAGAGCCAGGGGATTTTAAACAAAAATTCCAAATAAAGAGCATATAGCCAGAGTCTTAACCGCTTTCTTGTTTTTGGAATCCACAATAGAAATCAGGTACTGCTTAGTTTCTGCTTCGAAAATTAGGAAAAGAGGTTTTGAACGACTCCGTTGGACTCAAAGATGGTCACGTTACTTCGACTGAACATTGACGTCACTACCCCGCCCTCCCCCAGAGCCCTGAAGAGTGCTGATAGTTACATCTGAACAGAAGGAAGATCCGGATGGACACTTAGCTGCGGCAAAAATCACGTTTTTCGGACGCATTCGAGGGGGCTTATGGGCTTAGTCGAATAGGTGTCAAACTTAACGCAATGCGATGATGTTCCCCGCCCTTCAAATGCAACCCCCTCAAGGGTGAAACCGTGCATTGAGGCGTAGCCTAATGTAACTTGTTGGCTACGTTTTCTGTGATTGGTTATTCACTACAAAATAAAGCATGCTCTCATTGGTCCATGAAGTATGACGGATAGTTCACGAGATTCAAATTTACAATCGCCGAGCTACCAACCTCTAGTCCTCCCTTTTTAAAGCCACTGAAGAAAAACTAACAAGTCTTTCTTTTTTCGAAGTTTACGTTTGGGTAAGGCTCAACCCGATCGCAGAAATAATACCGAATTCAATAACGCTACTTTGCTAAAAACTAGTAAAAAACTTAAAACGCAGCTAAATATCTTTAATGCTAACACGAGAAGTAACCGAATTAGCCTGTTCTTTTGAATCAGCCTGTTCTTGTTGACATTTTCCTTTTAAGCCGATGTGGCTCGTAGCTTTTGAAAATCAAATGGAGCTGGGATATTAAATGACTGTTGCTGTTTTGTCCTGTTTTATAGAGGAAATTATGAACGATGGTACTCGGAAGTTATTTGAACGCGTTTCCAAAAAGATGGGCTGGACTGGGGACGATGGATTAGACGTGGCAGAAAAGAAGGTTTGCGGTTTGTATTCAAATTTGATTGCGTTCGTTGGTAATTCTCTTGATTCTCTCGCCCCCTTAATTTTGTAGCTGATGAACGCGATTGGGAAGCAACGCCATGGTGGTACAAGTGGGGATCATTTTGCGGACCGATCCGTGTCGCCTCTAAGTTATCTGTCAGAGGACGAAGACAAAGAGAACCGGCACTTCAGGACCAACACATACAAAAACACAGTTTTGATTGACTCCGGTGATGATGAATTTGATCAGCGTGAGTGAGATGGAACCTCGCAATTGAGTTTGAGCTGTTTTAACGCGACACTGGTTCCATGAATACTCTTTTCTCTTCTCAGTTCTTGTGAACTGGAGCACTCCAAGAACGAAACCCAAGCCACGGCAACCATGCAGTGCACTGAAGATAGACCGGTACTATACAATATTTTTATTTTGCTTTTGCTTAGCAGTTGCATGTGACGTCACCAAAACAACTTCTAATATGTTCTGTTTACAATCCAAGTGTTCTTGCAGTGAGCTCGGATGATGATGATGATAGTGGCGGTTTTGAAAAATGTGAGTTGCCTTTTTCTAGTACTTTCATTTGTGCATTGATTCTCAAACTTTTTACACAACGTTCCTCCTTAAAGATACTTAGGACTCCAAGTACCAGTCACATAATCTCGCAGATTTTAAAATTTGATGCATTTAATCCTAAAAATATATATTTTATATTATTGTAAAACACTATAACAATGTGAAATTTGAACATTTGCACTCCACCAAAATATGCAGCCATTTTTTGCACTGCTTATTGGAGCCCATCCAGAAAAAAAATACTGCTTAAGTAAAAATTCCATTAAAATGTGTCGCACATTGTATTAAAATAAAAGTTTAAAAACGGTCCTGAAAGATGAAATGAGAACTATAATTGCAAAGGCAAACATGCCGACATAATGCTCATTTTTCTGTGTGTATTAAGTCTTGCAACGTGTGAAAACTCCCGCTACAAAGCCCAGGAAAGTATCAGAGAGTGAAAGTGAGGACAGGTGACTATTTCAGTTGACATACAAATTTGCATGACTCTTTTCCTATTGCTGAAAATGTGTTTTAATTTTATTTTTCTAAATCTGTTTTCCTCCAAAAGCATTAACCATTTTATTGTGGATGATGACTTATCAGACGATGACTTCTTTCAAACAAAATCATCCTCTAAAGGTATTATAGATGTAATCAGCATTGACTTAAATTGTAAAACAACACAATTGTGATTGGATTGTTACCTCTTCATTTTTCATCCAGGGCGTAAGAAGACCAATACTCCAGCCACTCAAAATACATTCAAGAGACCACTGCCACTATCTCAGTTTGCCTCACCTGTGTTCATCAGTGATAGTGAGGATGAGGGGGATAATATTGTTATCAAGAGCACTTGGAGGACTCGCTGCACAAAGCCAAATTCTCTGGCAAAATCTAATAAAAACAACCCATTGCTTTTTGACCAAAAGGACAGCCTACCATCACCGTTTTTGCCTCCTGTCTCCCCCCTCACTGCTCCTCGACCATCCCACCGCAATGCAACCACTCTGCGTTCTCCCAAGCGTACACTTTCAGCTCCTTCCAAGCTGGATGACTCAAGTGGTTCAGAAGAGGAGTTCACATCCTTACTGGAGAGGCTTAGAAAGAAGAACATATTCACTGACTCGACTTCCAAGACCACAACAGGTACGAGAAAAAAAGTATTGTCCCCACCCCCCCTTTTTTTTTTTAATTTTATTTTTCGGGGGCTTAACATAAAGCGGACACGTGACATTTTCAAACAGGTTCTAATGGGCAAAATATTGAAAACCGACCGAGTATGTTACAAAGCAGTTCTACATAACCTTTGCCTACCACTACAATAATATTGTTGGGGATAAACAAAACATCATGAATTACCTTTGTGAAGGCAGCTACATGTTTGTATTTCTTCTCATCAGATTACACAGACACACACACACACACACACACACACACACACACACACACACACGAGCAATTCCCATTGCTATTCGTTCGTGTTCGGAAACAGACTATATAATGATAGCTGCTGAGAGACTTGACGTTTTAGTTTTAATTCTGTTTATTTTTTGAACGCAGAAGTCAGTATGGACCCTCCTGTGTTAGTTCCACCCATAAAGGGTTCGGCTAAACCGAGGTCCACCTCATCATTAGGAAGAAAAAATGTGGATTCAAAGACTCCTGGAAAAAGCACCATCCTGAAGCCAACCGTGAGCCAGACAGAGCCCAGACACGGTCTCATCAGCAGGTACATGTCACATTTTTTTTTTTTTTTTTGCGTTAAGATTCGACCACAGCAGTCGCTTTCTTTACATTTATGTCTTTCCACCCGAACAGGTCCCCAAACTACATGATTGCAGTCAATGAATGTTCTGCCACTGTAACGTCAATGCTGGTCAAGGCACCGGGTCAACTAGCGGGTCCATTTCACTTTTTTTTTTTTTTTTTTTGCGTTAAGATTCGACCACAGCAGTCGCTTTCTTTACATTTATGTCTTTCCACCAGACTAGCCTTATGCAAAACCCCAGGTTGCTTCTTGGAGTCCCTATCAAATCCTGCCTCCAGCTACTGCTGCAATTTTAAGCAAAAGAAGGAAGAACTTACGAGCAAACTGTATCGTATGTACAACAGCAGTGTGTTTGACAGGAAGGTACTGAGTTGTCATCTCTTTATTATGAGCATACACGTGCTTGACTTATTGACTGATTTCATGTTTTCTTGCCTGACATTTGTAGCTCCCCGTTGATATGTCTCTGATTTGGAACAAAAAGATGCGCAAAACAGCAGGCTACTGTGTCACTGGACAGGAGCGAGGTGGAGGGAACCGTTACGCTCGCATCGAACTCTCTGAGAAAGTCTGCGATTCTGCAGGTAATTCTTTGTGAAGGCGCTTCGAAGGTTTTGCCAGAAAAGTCACTGTATGTATCTGGAGATCAGTGAACACTGTATCCAGCAGAGCACAGAGGGCCATATTCGCCCTGTCTCCCGGAAGTCATTTTTATGTGTCTGAACTTGCACCCTTTTCAACATGTATTCTACCGTCCAGGTTCAGACAGACCCATCACAAATTCCAAAGACGCAGACAATTAATTGACAGCTCAAGCAATGTGGACAGCCTGGAATGTGTACTTTTTCCTCAGACTTGCGAACCCATGAAAAAGATAGAGCTCCTTTCAAATTTGAGAAATATAGTGGATGTGTAATCAAATAAACACGAAAAATAAGTCCGCTCGTGCGGACTTACTAAAATGCTCTAATTGCCACCTCACAGTGCCCCTTAAATCAACTCAGGTAATTAGAGATCCTTGATGAAACTCAAGCAATTTACTTTGTCTGACGGGCTCTGAAATTCTTTACTTAGTCCTGCGCCAAAATATTTCCATTAAAAAGATCCTACCATCCTAGATCGCCTCCGAGACACACTGATCCATGAGATGTGCCATGCTGCGACCTGGCTGATCAACGGTGTGCGGGACGGACACGGAAGCTTATGGAAGATGTACGCTCGCAAGTCAACCTTGGTGCACCCTGAGCTGCCGATGGTTACTCGCTGCCACAGCTACGACATCAAGTTTAAATTCCAGTACAAGTGCGCCAAGTGTCAGAATACGTATGTGGCGTACTTGGCGTTTTCAGATGAAACGGGCATTTTTAGGTGACCTCTGCTACACCGTTAATACTTGTGCTGTTGTCTTCAGGATCGGGCGCCATTCCAAGTCCCTGGACACCCAGAAGTTCGTGTGTGCACTCTGTACAGGCAAACTCGTCCTGCTCACACCATCCAAGCCTCGTCCCCCCACGCCTTTCGCCAAGTTTGTGAAGGAGCATTACAGGCGCGTACGCCAGGAGTTGACGGAGCAAAGCCATCGGGAAGTCATGCAGAAACTCAGCTCGGACTTTGCCTCGAAAAATAAACTGAGTGACATTAACAGTTCAAACCTCTGAGGTAAGTGGACCACCATCACGGAACGACAATAACGCCTGTTGAATGTTGGCGATGACGCAGTAATAAGGGAGCAGCTGTGAGTGATGCGTTTTACAGTTTAAATATTCATATGTTTAAATGTTTTTGTATGTTAGTGTCGATGAAGTTGTGATGTTTCAAACACAGATGACCGCTGAATAACTAGTCGTGTCTGTAATTTTACTCAGATTATTAAATTGTCAAGTTTTAACCACAAATAAAGTTTTAATTATTTTGTTTCAAAATCAAATGGAAAAAGTGCATTTCATGGGAACTGAAAAGGGTAACAGGAGGCAACAGGTCATAGTCACGACATCATGCCATTTTCTATAGTGTTTGTTTTCAGTGTTGCAGGTGAGCGGGAGCCTATCCATGCTCGCGTTGACACCTATGGAACATTGAGACTTATTTAACCCAGCATGCATGTTTTTGGAACACGGTTGAAAGTATAACCTATGCAAGCATGGGGTGAATGTGCAAATGACCTGGGAAGGCTGGAACCAAGATTCGAACCTCTGATGTGCTCACCACTCACATACCGTGCTATCCCTTATTTATAACAGCTTCATAATATAAAAATAAAACAACATCAGTGGTTAAAGATATTTATTTTGTCTGTACCATAAATAGTAGTATTCTTGGATCTTTTTTAATGCACTATACAATATAGGAACATTGAAAAATACAGACCACAGCAAAACTAGAAACAGCAGGGCATACATAATTTATCACTATAATGGCGGCCAAGAAAGCATATTCATGGAATTTGAACATGTCACTTTGAGTTTATAAAATCAAGTGGAACCTCAAGATACAGTAACACCATTTTAGGTTAAATAATAAACTGTTCAGACTGATGGACAATCGTTCAAGAACAGAATGTAAATATCACATCACCTGTCGGAATGAGCTGTGTGAACTGTATTAAAGCAGGCACTGAATTTTTTTTTCCTTCCCTCCCCAACGATGACTATACGGTATAATCTTCGCAAAAGTATGCAGCATTCTGAACAAGAGCATCTTAGTCATTAATAGACTTCTTGATAAGATCTAACACAATTCACCTCCAACCTTTTGACCTAATGTAATGCTATGAAATGGGACATTTAAGAGAGGATCAAATCTATAGGCAGCTTTCTTTGTAAAACCATACATTACCATCAGTACAGGCAGGTTTTTTTCATAATCCTTAGGAACTCTTGCTGGTTCACTTCTCCATCGCCATCTCTGTCCGCCTCCTCAATCATTTCCTTTATATAAGAGAATGGGAATATGTATCAGACTAGCACTACGATAATCAAATGGTAGCATCCTGCAAGCATCAACCCAATAAATGCCTATTTGGGGCATATTTTGTTGTCAACGGAAATCTGTGAGTAGTTGACTCAGCCCCAAAAATGTTCAATCGGTTGCAGATGCCGCAGGATTGCAGCAAAGTACTACTTTTTTGACTAAATGAAGCTCCTCCACTCGCTTCAACAGAGTTTCTTGGTTGTATGATGCCACATGCCCACCCCCCCCTTTCTTACCCCAACAAAAATTGTGTGAAATCATGAATCTGAAAGTGAGCGCTGTACTAAGATTCAGCATTTTGAGAATTGTTTACCAAATTTCTTGAAACAAAGATACTTCTTGGTTACTGATTAATGTAAAAGGCTACCGGTTTGATACACACTCCTGAAATAATAATCTATGTGAAGATATTGATCATAATGACTTCTCACAATAGTTATCAACAATACTTTCACAAGGTAAGAAACTCCACACTTTATTTCTTGAATTCAGAAGCTCGACGAAATATTTTTTAAAGTTGTAAGTTGTGTGGCATTTGTGGATCGGGGGGGCTTTTTTTTCCAGTTGACATTTTCAATGGGCCTTTATTTTTTTTCATGGGGAGCGCGCTGTTAATTTCTGAACGTTTTGGCTAATATTTAACTTCAAATTGTTTTTGTTAAAGAAGAGTTACAAATAAATCTCTTGCAATGGCACTCTTTGTGTGGATGTCTTATGACAAAAAAATGTGCTCATTGCTTCCAACATTTCCCATCTTAACTTCCTCCATCTTCATTTACTGGAAAATCTTGCAACTCTTGGCTTACCTGCAGCTCCTCATCGGTGAGGTTTTCTCCGAGCTCCTTCGCGACTCTCTTGAGATTCTTGAAGGAGATCCTCCCGGTCTCGTCATCATCAAACAGACGGAATGCTTTCAGTATCTCCTCTTTAGAATCCTTCTCGGCCTCAGGTAATAGGAAGAGCAGTTGTTACAAAAGCCTGTCACGTCAATGTGGAAGGCTCACATTAAATGACTATCAAGTTAACTGAGGCCTTCGAACCTCATGCTGACCAATGTACATACACATTAGACATTGACATTTATCTCTATAGACTGCTGTGCAGTCAAATAAGCTCAGCTGAAACATCCATGGAAATTTGTAAATATCCTTCGGTAGGTCTGAACATCAATGGGAATAATTACTCATTTGGGTTTCTTTGAATTAGTGATTTCTCTGTACTGCTGGTAGTACTCAACAGTAATTGAAAAAAATAATTTTGAACAAACTAGTAGCGTGGTCTCAATATTTGAGAAATGATCATTGCATAGATTGCATAGTGCAATGTGCGGTGTTGATGCCGTCTATGCTTTGAACTTCCGTTAGCCATCCATGCATCTCTCCATCCATCCATTTTCTCATCCACTTATCCTCACAAGGGTCACGTGGCGTGCTGGAGCCGATCTAGCTGTCTTTGGGCAGCAGGCAGGGTACACCCTGAACGGGTTGCCAGCTAATCATAGGGCACACATAGACGAACAACCATGCATGCTCACAATCACACCTAGGGGCAGTTTAGTGTGTTCCACGAACCTGCCATGCATGTTTTTGAAACATGGGAGGAAATCGGAGTACCCAAAGGAACCCCACGCAGGCACGGGGAGAACATGTAAAGTCCACACAGAAGGCTGGAGCCGGAATCGAACCTCTGCACCGTGGGACCAATTTGCTAATCACTCGGGCACTGTGCTGCCCCATGCTAACCATAACTACTAAAATGTAGTTCAACTACTACTGGATGTACTATTTACCAGTAAGTTCCCTGTTGTAAATTTAACTTGCAATTTTGTGTATCCACTTTTGTTTCATGTAAATTTCAAAGGGGAGTTTTTTTAAGAATTGTGCAACCAACCAACTCAGTAGGTTTATGTATTCACCATCTTCTGTGTCATCACACCGAGGAAATCACTCAAGGAGATCTTCCCTGTGCCATCCTTGTCCACTTCACCAATCATCTTTTTGATCTCTTCTTTCTTGGGTTCAAAACCCAGAGCTCTCATGGCAACCTTGCAGAGTGAACATAACAAAATATGCAAGTTTAATTAATAAATGCCATCAGATTGATGACACAAGTATTGTCTGGGTGTCTTATTTCCTCAACTGCAGATATGGGCGGCTGGGGCCCCAATTTTCACGATTACCTTTTTTGGGAGAATAGTACTAAACATGTTACAATATGTCAGCTACAATTGGAAACTTCAAATTATTGAGGTGGCCACTACTTGAAGAAATGCGATAAGTAAAAAGAATTATATTCAACGTGTTTAAAAATGATTTAAAACCGAAAATAGAGTTCTCTTTGATGTTTAAATGGAGTATAACTCAATTTTTATTTTTAAGCATGTTTCTTCCCCCAGGTCCTGACAGCGGTTCTCTTTACCTTGAGTTCCTTAACATCGATGTATCCAGCGCCATCGGTGTCAAAGAGCTCAAAGGCCTCCCTGATCTCCTGCTTTTGCTCCTCAGTCAGCTCAGGTTTGGGGCTCGTCTTCTTGCGAGGGGGAGGCACTGGCCCCTGCAACGATGGCCTCTTGGCACACGCCTGATGACCACGCAAACAAGATGAAAACATATATACTGTCATATTATGCATCATTATCGTGAGTTATTTTTACTCACCATCAATTATGTATTTGCCAGCCTTAGCAAATCCGATAAAATCCGATTTACAGGCTTCGGAGTATCCGCGTGCAGATGAAGGGATATATTTGTTGTATTCTCTCTTGGATACAAACATCAACGACACCCCAAAAACTTGAATTTACAACATTTGGGTAGGAATGAATAAGTAAATAAACGGGCAGCAACGTTAACATTCCCAGAGTCATCCGTGTAGCGGCTGTTTGTCGGTGGAGACGTTTGATTTTCAACCCGGTACGCCAGATAAGGCGCACGAATCCCCAAAAAGCTTTGGATAGTATATCGGGCACCTTTTGTGTGACAATCAAACGCACTAGTCGGGGCAAAATATGATTGGCCGTTTGAGGTCACAAGCGGGAAAGAAGGGACTCGATTGGACGGAAAAGCGAATGCCGGAACACCCATTCAAACAAAATGTGAGAATCTCAACGATTTCATATAGAATAGTCTTCCATCCATTTTCCGAAACGCTTATCCTTACGAGGGTCGAGAGCGTACTAGAGCTGTCTTTGGGCAGTAGGCGGGGTACAGCCTGAACTGTTTGCCAGCCAATCGCAGGGCACACATAATCGAACAACTATTTGCACTCACAATTTTCAGCTAACAAATTACCCACATGATTATATTGATTTTCTATTGCAAATATTCCGTCATTTGTTGCTGTGACGGGATGCACGCTGGTGTTTAGCTCAATCTAAGGCACTATAATACAATAACATAGCAATAAACCCAGTCTTTATGTTTATTGTTTTAAAAAACGTCACAGTTGCGACTAATTACGAAAATGTGCTTCTGACATTCAAATAAACAAGCATTTTCCAAATGAATGGCATCCAATTCGTGGCGGCTGGTTCAACTGGAGTGACGGAGGACGTATCTGATTGGCCCAAATTGTGGCGTTCTTTTACGTTTGCTCTATGCGATTGGCTAATACACTCCGCCATTCCGTTGCTGCCCAATGAATGGTAAGAACTCACTCAGCTGATTTAGTCAGTCAGGTACTTGCACACATGGAACTTGTCCAAACGCTAACTTATACAGAGCGTCACGCACTCATTTGTGGTTGTCTGTTGTGTGTTTTAAAATTCAATACCACACAACTACACTTTTCCCTTTTTTGAGCTGACTATGGCCACGCGTGTTCGACCGGTGAGTTCAATACCATTGTTTGTTTCTCTCATCAAAGTTTTTGCACCATTGATGTTAAGCGATGAACAGACCTCGTCCTCTGTCTTTCAGAGTAGTAAGCGCTGTGCCGTAATCGGGGGCTCGGGTTTCCTGGGCAGACACCTGGTGGAGAAGCTCGTGGAGCGTGGCTACACCGTGTCGGTGTTTGACATCCGCCAGAACTTCGAGATGCCCGGCGTCACCTTCTATCAGGGAGACCTTTGCGATTTGCAGGTGAGGGTTCCATCCTGTGCTGCAGACTGCATTGGACCGCTCAGGGAGAACACTTCAAACCTCATCCATGCTGAATCAAGATCAATCGACTCTTTTGGTTGCCCATACAAAGCTACTCGTAGATAAAGATACGAAGCCTAATGTCTGACATAATTTGGCACAAATGACATGCACGATATCATAATGTTCAAATATACACTCACCACCGCCAGCCACATCTTTAAGTACACTAGCATGACCACATTTACAAAAACAAAGCTAATTAACCCTGTTTTTCATTTAACTAATGATTATTGTATGGGGCAGCACAGTGAATAATGTGTTTAGCATGAATAGTCTATTAGTATATTCCTTAACTCTTGGAGCCAACTTTACCAACTTGAATTCAAATGAAGGAGTATTAACGCAAGTGTGACTATTAGGGTGGTCCATTTTGGAAAAGTTTGTCGGATTCGTCGGGCCGGGTCGGAAATCTTGTCGATACTATGACACAAGGATGTGTGCAAAATTTTATTCCGATCGGATAATTTTATCCCGTCCCGCAGAGCGACCAAAGTTTCCCCTATGGAAAGAATGTTACGGGGCTGAATGGTAGTACGGTTTCTCCCGTACAGTAAGGATTTTGTTTTGCTCAGTTCGCACTTGCAATAATTCAAAGACGGAAGACAGGAACGCATGTATTGCAAAAAAGGCAACCGTGGTTATCCTTCAACACTGGTGAGATTGTTGGTCCATGTTAACTGGTCCATCTGTCTATCTGTCCATCTGTCTATAATGTCCATCAACACTAGTGACACTGTTAGACCGCAAAAAAAAACGAAATCCGCCGTGCGTGCCATCCCATGCCTACTTCGCGCACGGGTGCAACGCCCGGTGTCGCTCCACGACCTGCAGAAGGTGCTGTCGCTGTTCCTCGTCGCGCGTGATGGCGCCGCAGAACGCGCTGATGAGGGCGACGCCCCTCTCCGCAAAGTCGTTCACCACCCGTAGGTGACGAGCGCGCCGACGAGCCGTGGTGATGTTCGATGTCGAAAAGCGTCCTCAGCTCAGCGTCCAGGCGAGGCGGGTTCTTCTCGCCCAGCCGCTCCTGATCGTTCGGGCAACATTCAGCCCAGCCAGTGTCACGCATGGCAAACAGGGCACGGTTAAAATACACATGTTCACCCTATTGAGACCAGTTGTTATGGTGGAAACTTTGGCCGCTTTGCGGGACAGGAAAATATCATCAGATCGGAATGAAATTTTGCACAGAACCTTGTACCATAGTATCGACAAGAATTCCGACCCGGCCCGACGAATCCGACAAACTTTTTTTTTTGCCATGAAAATGTGGACCACCCTAGTGACTATGCATATCCATGGTTGGTTGTCTTCGTGCGCGCTGCGGTTGGCCGGCAACCAGTCCATGGTGTACCCCACTTCTTATCCAAAGTCAGCTGGGAGAGACAAAAGCTCACCTGTGACCCTCACGAGGATATGCGCTGTAGAAAGTCAGGGTTCTTGTGGATCCTTAAAAAGTCTTAAAAGACATTGAATCCATGAAACTAAAAACAAGGGCTTAACTGGCATGAACCCTTTCCGGGACAGCGGTTACTATAGTGGACAGTTTATCGTGTTATCAGGTTCCAGATTATCGTTATTGGTGCATGAAAGGGTTAAAATGTCATAAATCAATCTTTGCAAAAAATGTTAAAACAGAAAGAAGTATGGTTTTTAGGATTGTAAATAATCTAAAAGCTAAAAAAAAAAAAAGCAAACAAACTTTCTTTAAAAAGTAATTAACCAAATTTCTCTTCTGGCAGCATCATACACGCAACCATGAGCGTGGAATCAGCAAAAGAGTGATGTGGTGTTAGTTGGGACTCCTAAATGCAGGTGCATGTCATGTACTGTATGTACTGTAGCAACTTTGGACAACATACTATAAGACATTAGGATTTGGGAACACTGTGAAGTTCGTCTTAGTTTAATTTTCAAATGGAATTGAACGATCTTGTCTTGAATTTAAGATGCCATAAGCTGTCGGAACCCTGGAAAATGTTTGGAGGAATGGGTTTTTATTGTCATTGTAATTTGTAGTGGTGTAGAACTACATTGCATCATCCTGACAGCGGTTTCTAATATTTTGGTTATTTTAATTCAGCTACAAGGGCCCGTGCAATATTCAAAACAGCTCTTGGTAAGATGCAGTGCCGTTCTACACCAGCTTCAACTATCAGCCCACAAAATAAACTTTGTTGAATCTCAGTCATTCAAACTTATTATTCCTATCTTTCTGTAGCCTTTTTTTTTTTGCAGTGTGTCAAGAACTGACATATCACCCCAAATATCCTTTGTGTCATTTTCCTCCAGGCTCTGCTGCCAGCACTGAAGGGTGTGTCTCTGGTGTTCCACTGTGCCTCTCCATCACCCGCTAGTGACAACAGGGAGCTGTTTGAGAGGGTCAACATTCAGGGCACGGACACTGTCATTCAGGCCTGCACTGAAGTTGGAGTACAGGTGAGACAAGCGGGATAAGAGGTCATCGGTTTTGTATGTCTAAGACTAGATGGGCGGTGAAGCACAAGGGTTTCTGCTTTTTTGTTGATGTTGTTGTCAGAAATTGGTGTTGACGAGTAGTGCCAGTGTGGTGTTTGAGGGCTCTGACATTAAGAATGGGAGAGAAGATTTACCCTACGCCAAGAAGCCTATTGACTACTACACCGAGACCAAGATCAAGCAAGAGAAGGTAGAGTGACATGTTGAATTTAGCTTGCCCGTTTCAACATCTTTTTAATTATGATGCGATGTCATAGGCATTAACAGTACACATGCTGCCAAGGGTGGGATGTCAAGAGTGATAGCAAAGCTCAATGGCGTTGCCCTCCTGAGCTATTCGCGAGCTTGGTACAGGGCACATCCACAATGCTTTGGAAGCATTCTAGCATCTCTCCAACATTTCATTGATGGGGAAAACAAGTGAGCATTTAATACCGGGGTTTTCCTAACAGAGGCATTACCGAATCCATTTTGTAGTGGACAGTGGCAAATACTAAAATGAACATTTGACATGGCTCATGTGATTTTCCTGCTTTGTGCGACTTTCTCCACTGGGTGGTAAGGCAGGAAAAAACTGGAAGGAAAAAATGAAATTCTTCCACCAACACATATTTAGTATGACACGGAATGGACAAAACCCCGAATGAAATATTTGCAATTAAAATTGTAAAAACAATTGAATTAAAATGCAGCGATGAATGAAGACACAGCATATGGGGTGAATTGTGATTTTTTTTTTTTTTTTTTCTGTACTTTGCGTTCTGTGTCAACATCAACTTCGTGCAAATTGCTCTTGTTTGGTTCTGAATCTGGAGATGGGATTCTGCCGCAATGCAATTATTTACTGAATTTTGACTTTCCTACCGCATCAAGGTTATTCCATATCAGATCACCCGCCAAAATCCTGAACATTTTAACCAGGCATATTTTAATTTGAACGAAACTTGCTGTACTTGTTGATAGTGATGACACAACACTCAATCTCTAAATCTCTCACAAAATCATGAACGAATATTCACCTTTCTTTGAATATTTGAGGGGATGGATTCTTCATGTCCTTATTATCGCTAAACAAAAAAAATTACTGAAACTTGTGTTCGGGTCACGTGAGTCACAAGGTCAAATTATAGGTGAAAAGATAAAGTTACAAAAATATCCACCAGCCTTCTAAATGATTCCAGATTCTGATTCCTTGTTGAATTCCCTTTCCCAACAATACCTGTTTTGTAGTTTCGGAGGTATGAGGATTCAAAGGAAGGCGGCACCACCCCTTTTTGACCAACATATTAAAATTCGGTGGTCCGTAGCTCCTAAACGCCTGCTCCGATTGAGCCTACAATTTAAAATTTAGTCTTGTCCCATCGCTGTCGACAAGTACAGCAAGTTTCATGAAAATCAAAATCGGCTTGGCTCCATACCAAATCACCCAGTCGGTGATTTGGTATGGAATGGCACATTATTGATAGACTCCAGCACATTGAGTTGCACAACAATCACAGAATTATGATGTACTTTATGCCCATTCATAATTGCGATGAAAACACGAAATGCTTCCAACCAGTGTATTTGAGTCATAATAGTAGCGAACATGATTTGCAGAATAATGGAAGCAGTTGGGTACCTTGCTCTGGAGCATGTCAGTGTTTTGTGCCCATTTCAAATCAAACTTGGGACCTTTTGATCACTTGTATCGCTGCTCCTTTTCATCAAACATCAATTAAAAAGAAAACCTTGAACACTCTAGTTAAAATAGTGTCATCCTTGAGCAATTGCCTTCACTCACACCAATGCATATTTTCTCGCATTGTATATTTGCATGTTTGTGTCCAAGTTGGTCCTGGAGGCTTGTGACAAAAAGAAGGGTTTCCTCACCGTTGCCATCCGTCCCCATGGCATCTTCGGACCTCGGGACCCGCAGCTGGTCCCGATCCTGGTGGATACAGCTCGCAGGGGCAAGATGAAGTTCATCATTGGGTGAGTCTGAGTCAAGGATACTGAGTTATCCAAAGCGACATCCATACATGATATTATCCATCCATTCGTTTTCTAATTGGCTTATTCTCATGAGGGTCGCGGGCGTGCTGGAGCACATCACGCGATATTATTCTGAATTAATTTATTTGTTTACCTATGAAATGCTGCGGTGGAAACCCCAACTGTAGAATTTTGTGACAACATAGACAAATTATTTCTTGCTCTGTCGCTGTCGTGTTTGACAGCTGCGTTATCAGTATAGCCATCCGCAATGCTTGTGGAACTGCACCCGCCTGTTTGAAGGCTGCTCAGATAACATGGTTTATCGAATGTTCTCAAAAACATGCATCTCTCAGTACATACACAGTCTAGTGGTGCTACTGCTCGTTATTGAATATAGTGGCTGGGTTACTGCTCGTTATTGAATACAATATATTATTTAAAGTAGATATGCTTTTTTTCACATTTTAACACCATTCCCCTGTGTCTTAATAACACGCCTGTGACATTCTTTCATCACGTTACCCCAAGGATCAAGAATTATATCACATGTCACATTTGCTATTTCTTATCTTGCTGCAATTATATTTTTCACCCCTGGCCCATACGCTGATAAGCCAATTGGCTTTTGTTCATCATGACGACCAGTGGCAGAGCCCTGCCATTTCTCTTCAGTGACTTTTGTTGGTGGGAGCAAAGGCTAGAATATGATGGAACAAAAGCCGGTGGCCTTGAAGAAAAAAGCATTTCTTTTTTACTCGTAGAGGCAGCATTTCCTACACTGCACTGTGTGTATGTGGCGTGTGTATGTGGCACTCGGGCACATGGCCAAACAGAGATGCCCCTGCCCCTCACTGACTTTCCAATTCAAAGTACAGACGCTCCCCAGCTTACGAACATTCGTGTTACGAACAACGGTACATATGAACATTTTTGCGGGTACAGGTATGTAGAAAAATGTTCTCGGACAGAGATGCTGTAAGTTAGATTTTGTATTGCGCGCCTTTTTCCGAATACTGTAGTACTTCTTTCCGCCGCTAATACCGACGTAAGGCGCTGTGAGAGGAGGAGGAGGAGGAGGAAACGCCTGTCCCCATGAAGAAGTTTGAGACGGAACTCTTGGCCGAGGGGTTTTCGCTCATAGATAAAGCCATCGCACTCTTCGAGCAGCAAGACCCAAATATTGAACGTTGCACAAAGGTTGCAAATCAAATGAATGATGCCATCCAGTGCTACTGCATCATTTCTGATGAGAAAAAGAAGAAAACCGTGCAATCGTCCATCATCTCCTAAAGCCTTCGAGTACATCTTCCAAAAGTAAGTTAAACTTCATTTTATTATACTTATATAAACCTTAAACATACTTATATAAGCCTTAAACATACATTCCATACAAAATATAGCACTGAAGCAACTTACGAACGAATTCAGCTAACGAACGATCCTTCGGAACGTATCTCGTTCGTTAGCTGGGGAGCGTCTGTAATACCGTGAGAAATTGTGAAATCCATATCACACTGAAAGCATCAGTGGGAATGAGACCCCATCAGTGGTGGAGAACAAGGGCCTACTGTTTTTATTTCCCGGGTTTTGGCTGTCAAGACACATTTTATTCAAAAGAGACTGAGGGCAGCAAGAAAATGGACCGCTGCAGCAAAGTGGAGACTGTGGAGTGTAATACTACAGCAACAGGGGAAGCACATTTTTGGGGTGCATTTCTGTACCTGTTACAGTGGTACACATCCATAAGGCATTTCCAGGTTGACCTCTCGCTCATAATAGTAGTTCATAGTACTCGATGTTTACATATTGATTAGGTGGGGTTTTTGCCATTGAGCTAATCCAACGTGTCAAGCAGGAGAGATTTCCACTGCTCCCCCCAACTAAAGATCATTGTATCATTGCATTTTGGCTTTCCAAAAATAAATACGATAAGATAATATAAGATAACCTTTATTTGTCCCACACTGAGGAAATTTGCAGTCTACAGCAGCAAGAAAATGGGGGCTGGGGGAATAGTGTTTCATTGCACAAAATAAATGTTTCAGAAAAGAACTGTACACAGTTCAATATAAATGCAATATAAAATAAAGCATTAGCAATGTATTTGTAGAATAAATATAATAAATTCGCGATAGCATAGAAAACACAGCGTGAGGTGGCTGTGCTAAAAAGGAAACTAAAAGAATTGTCCCAGTTGTGGTATTTTATTTCATGTGTTTTCCAGGGATGGCACCAACCTGGTGGATTTCACCTTTGTGGAGAACGTTGTACACGGCCACATCCTGGCTGCTGAGCACCTGAGGCCAGACTCTCCCATATGTGGAAAGGTCAGTAGGGGGAAAAAACATCTGAAAACATGCATACTAGTGATTTCCAAAGACAATGTGTTGGGAGATGTTTTCAGATATGAGTTGCAGTTGGGACATTATCCAATTTCACTTATTGAATCCAAAAATGATTCCCTCCAAATGTGCCTTTGTTCTTCTAAGCCAGCGATATTAGTGAGCTGCTGAACAATTAAGTGCTCTTTCACTAGATGGACTACAGAATACAGTAAAATTCCCTTCATTTTGGGTTCTTGGTTCGAATTCCCACTATTTCTTTTTTTTTTAAATACTTCCTGCAGTTTGTGTGTAATTCCACTGTCAGCCACTTGTTTTACCCAAAATTTAAAAGAAGAGTGAAAACAGGAAGTATTTCAAGTTCAGTCTAGTTTCTGCCCCACATTCATTCAGTTTTAAAGCCTTTGTAATCCTGCTTTTTATGCCCCCTTGAAGGTACAACTATGGGTTCATTTATAATGTGCGTCTTTGGGCATATTTATTAATGTATGATGGATTAATATGTATTTATGATTGCTTAAACAAGCCCCATGGAATACGGCCAGAAGGAAATTTGTGAGGAGATATAGACCATATCATTATTAATTCAATAGGCATGCTTTTTGGGCCATTTTTGTTTGGTCGTCTGTCATGAGATCTTTCTCATGTAAAATACTGTTTGTGTCTTGACTCAGTAAAGTTAGGGACACACTGCTGGATACCATGTTTGCATTAGCCTACTGCAATAAATCAGAATCTTATGTTTTGTTTTCACCAGCCATATCATATCACCAACGATGAACCGGTTCGGTTTTGGGACTTCATGTCAGAGATGTTGGTCGGTCTGGGTTACGTCGCTCCGCGCTATCACCTGCCCTACATGCTCGTGTACGGCCTGGCCCTTCTGCTTTGGCTTCTCTCTCTGGTGCTGCGCCCCCTGATGTCCTTCAAACCTACGTTTACGCCGATGAGAGTGGCCCTGGCCGGAACCCACCACTACTACAGCTGTGAGCGAGCCAAACGGGACATGGGCTATAAGCCGCTGGTTGACCTCAAGGAGGGGATCAAACGCACGGTCCAAAGCTATCCTCATCTCAGACAGAATGCAAAATAGGCAAGTATCAGTAACGATAATAGTTAAGGCACATGGACTGAATGGGCAAATCCAAACGGACGCCATTTCCAACCACCTTGCAGGTGGGAAGCCTGTTCGTTCCTTTTCAGCTGTCGTGTAACATTTATACCAGCAGATGGCAGCAGGCTCTGCCTGCATTCCAACACCTTGACAATCCAAAGAGCCAAATCAGTCTAACTCCGGTTCTCGAGGCTCCACTTTCCTGCCAGTTTTCCATCTCTCCCTGCTGCAACACACCTGATTCAAATGATCAAGATCGTTTTCAGGCTCCTGCAGAGCTTGTTGATCACTTGAGTCGGGTGTGTTGCAACAGCGAGGGATGGAAAGCAAGCGAGCGATGGAAGAAAACATTCAGGAAAGCTCCCTTCGAGGACCAGACTTTAACCCCTACGAACTAAATACAAAATCAATGTAAAATATTGACGTTAGAAAGGGAATTATGTGTATTCAAACTGTACGGGTAGAATGAATTCATTAACACTGCTTAATACTGAATTATTTTATTTTTGATTTTCAAAACTGAACATCACTCTCTTTCTTAGGCCATATTTTTGATGCATCTCGTGTTGGATCTCGTTAGATTTTGGAAGTGTTGTTTCAGGAGTGCCCATTGGTGGCTTTTGTTTCTTGCGCACACAGTCCATCCATCTATCCATTATCCGCGCTGCTTATCCTCACGAGAGACGCGGGACGCACACAGTCATCTGAAGAAAAAGAAAGAAAAAAGTTCAACGTACAAGCTCACATAGTTCCCTAGTGTGCACCCAAATTGCGTTTCCGATTTGGAATTGAAGTGAGAGTGCTGCCCAAATCAAAATTCCACGAAAAAACCTATGTCTGTATTTTTTGCAGCAGGGCATAGAAGTGGCCCTTAAAAGCTGTCTTCAATTTCATCTGACGCTCTTCATACTGAATTACAACGCAGATTTTCTTGTCTTTCATTGCCCATTTTCACTGATAATAAGATTCCTGCAGCCACGCTCGAAATATCCTTCTTGGAGGTTGGTCCCCGAGGAGAGAAAACAAAAGTGTACCTTACTTCAATACAATGAAATGAATGTAATAATAGTGATTATTATTTTTGTTAATAAATGAAAAATCTTGATTTTCAATACTGGCATTGGACTGTCTAAATATTGTATTTCAGCAAATTTTGACAAAAATGTTCAGCCCAAGAGTCTCTGGGACTCAAATATGCTCACATCCATCATGTGTTGCCATAACATCAACATATACAGTACATAAAATAATGACAAACAATCCAACAGGCAATAAGAATTTATTACAACAGATGTGAATCAAAAAGGCATTTGTCATGATGAATGTGCGCTTGAAAACAACTCACAGGTTTTTTATGCATTTTGGGTCTTGAGCCAAACTTTGGGGAAACTCTACAAAAAAAAAAAAAAAAAAAAAAGAGAAAAGTTAATTTTGGGTAAAAATTTAAATGTTGAATACATGTTGTATTTGACATCTCAGTGAAGTGATCCTGACATTTTTACATAGCACCGTATCTCCTGTTGCTCTCCTGCAGGGATTCCCCACCATTGTCTTGTGGCGGTAAATCATCCATTTCGACTTTATTGGTCCGAAATTGATTTACAACCAAAAACATGATGTTTATTTGTCGATCAATGCAGCAGGAAATTATGTAGTTTCACTTAATTTGTCAGAAAATCTTTGCCGACAAATGAATGTGTCTTTGTTAATCCAACTACGGCAGTGGCATCTTTCAGGAGACGCAACCCAGTTCGCATTCAAATAACTGATTAATACCTTGGTGTTCAACGAAGCACGCCCAGATTGCACAATCAGTCAAATCATCATTTCGGCATTGTGACATTTTTGTTTGGTGGTGTGGCATGACATTTTTCCAATGTCAGCTGAGTAAAAGTTGGGGAAGACTGCTCTAGTAGATGCTGTAAATTTGGGGTATCCGACTTGTTTTCATCACCGGTCACGTTGTGGTTTTGGCTGCCCTCAGGCCCGGTTACAATGGTAAAACCACATAAATGTATAATCGCTAGGTGCGCTGAAAATAATAGTTGGGAACATTCGGCGGTTTTCAGGTCACGGTTCTATTCACGTCGGAGACATTTAAGGAGCAAAATGCAAAACAAACTACTTGTTTTGTGAAAACAAGAGCAGATTTAATGACATATACACTCTAACAACTGATGAAATTGGTTTCTTTTTTAGGAAAGTGCATCATCAATAGCTTTTCTGTCAAGGAAATGAAAGGATGCAGGCAAGTGCTACAATGCCTTTTGTCGTCACTTTGCATTCCCCTCCCCCCTCTGTGGAACTAATTAAGGTTATCTAATTTGCACTGCACATTTTTATTTGACTGTGTTATTCACATTCGTGAGTTAAATTCAAAGCACATCATCCATCGTGAAATCTGCTGACCAGATGCTGAGCTGCACTGTGTTTGTTTATGGAATAAGCATGTGGCTAGATTGTGAGGCGATTAGACTTTTTGTCCCTTTCCTATATGTGCTGCTCGGGCAGCCCTTATGATCACGCCTTCAAATGGCACCTTTATGATAGAGCAGAAATTGTGGAAAAATTGTGGCAAGCATTCAGTGGCCCCAAATGATGTGGTGGGCCAGATCTGGCTCCTCTGCTTCAGTTTGACACCGGATGGCAACAAGTTGAGATTCTTCTCATTACTTTCACCGATTCTTGAATACGTTTGTTGCCTTGGTAACAACAGAGTCAGATACTTGACATTCTTTTTGCTTTTTCCTAAGCAACCATACGTCATCTTGATTGACTGCCGGAGGCACAGTCACTGGCCAAGGCCGTCAAACTGGTTTGTCGCTGACGGGGACAAAAAAGGGAGACGGATTTGACAATAGACCCAAGCATTTACATTTGTAAATCGAGTGAAACTTTGCCTGCGTTCGCCGTCGGACTGCGGACTTGTTATGCAATGGATTCACACCCTCTTCCCCTTTAAAGTTTTTCTCTGAACATGATTGTCTTTTCAAGTGTTGGTAGAAACAACAGTTACAAAACAATACATCTTTATTTTGTACTGCTGAAGACATGTAGTGTCATTCCAGGCCTCCGTTTGCTTTTTGGATTTTTACCTTGCCATGTGTCGAGATGCTAGAAGTACTCAGTTGCAATCGGTACTTACATAAAAGTACAGATACCTGTGTTGAAAAAACTGATTCAACACCTGTCTTGAAGATAAAGTTAAAAAAAAAATAGTACGGGCTGTAATATGTGCTGAAGGGCAGAAGTGAAAAGTAGTTTTCACTGTCGATTATACACAATAATGTACCCATCTTTATAACCTCTGCACACAAAATAATTTCCCCCTGCTACTTGTGTTGTCTGAAAGCTTGCTAGCGTTGGCTTGACCTTTATATGATCAACAATGGCTCTGCTAACACAGACTGACTAATTAATCATAATGCTACTACTAATAAAAAAGGTCCACCTTACCTGGGTGGGCTTTTGCAGCATAGACGGAGAAGTTTTTACCTTCACCACAAATCATTTTTGTTGCCAACAACATCAATTATTCTCTTAAATCAGGCCAAAGATGGACACTGTTTTGCTTCTCCGAATCTCTGATATCATTGTTGTTAATGCTCCCTGGCTCATCCATGTTGCTACTGCGACTGTGTTTTTCAAATGCAAGTTCATAATAAAGTCACTCAGTATTGTCTGATCATGTAAAGTCATCTACAATCCTCAAACAAGTGACCTTCCTTCTTCTGTAGCTGTGGCTGGATAGCAATACCCAATTGAATACATCATAAGTGAACCCCGAAAGATCACGTATGCTACTAATTAACAAAGACAAAACCGAAGAACATTTTCACTATAATTATAGTTTTTGAAAAGGTAATTTTTTTTGTTTGTTTTCATTTTTTTGAAAGCCTTATCATTTTATTTAGTTATTTATTTTAGTTTTTGTTACCGGTATTTCATAATGATAACCTGGGTAAGGAGAAGAGAATGCCGGTATCTTTTTTTTTTTTTTTTTTTTGAAATGCAGGGAGTTAACGCAACAAGTATTTGTGCTTCCTTACTTCCCACTTCCTGAAGCACCTTGTCCTCTTTAATCATTGTTTCGTTCAAGTGCATATATATATGCTGCTGATCTCATGTTAACGATGCTTGCTTCCTGTTTGGTGCGCATGAGAGCAGTTCTCGTTCCCGCCGGAGATGTTGCTACGAGCCACCATTGTGTTGTCAACCTGTGCTCTGCCTTCTATTGTAGAATTCTGCCACATGCAAGGCAGCGATTTGCTTGCTCACTCCCAAAGAACAAAATGAATACCAAGCACCTTGCATTAGTCACAGTGGTACAAACACAGTGCTCCACCCCACACATCTTGACTCGCTCAGCTTGTTAGTGCTCACGCCCGTACCTGTAGCACAAGACACCTGTCACACACAAGAACCTACAAAGATACGCACACACCCACTTTTCAACTGGCGCATTTGAGCAGGACACTACACTGCTACGAGACCATCTGGATAATAAAGTGAGACCAGTGCCTTTTTGGATACTTTCTGTATTAAGGTGAGTAATTGAAGTCTGTCGTCTCATGCAAATGATTTGAGTCGTTGTTTGCCATCTTATTTTTCGAGCCGTTCCTTTGCCACATGAAGTTGCCCGTCCTGTTCCTTGCACCTCCTTAACGACACTTCATTCATCATTGATGATTTTATTCGGACAGGTGTCTTAAACCTTGGACAAATATGTAATAGGCCCCTTTGTATTGACTCACACTAATTATTGTGGCAGTCATAATCCTAAAATACTGAGGAAGTGAATTCCCAACTGTGGGACTTTTTCATGTCGTATTTGCTCAAGGAATTTCACTGTAAGGGCTTGCCGGTCCATTTTCTCGATCGTTTTTTTTTTTTGGGGTATTTCTTTGAAAGCTTTCTTGTATTTTCACTGTAAATGCGTTTAAGGGGTGGGCTGCTTCAGATAGAAAAGAGCAGAACGCAAATCATTACGTTGTCATGTTCCCACCACCCAAAAAAGAAATTCTGGGGGGTCGAAGGGGGGTCAGTTTTTAGTCAATCGTGGCTTTTTTCCCTCAATTTGGGAAGTGGAAAGACGGGCTCTTCTACATGACTAAAGGATGAGAAAGGGCAATTCCTCTCAGAGCACAGGTTCTTTTTTGGGGGGGAGGGAACAAAGCGTGGGAAGGCTGATTCCTATCAAAACAGCCCTTCCTTGGTTAATCTGTACGATTACGCATTTGTGCCCTCCCTTGGCTTAATGTGCACTCTGCATTTTTCAGGTGGACTGATAAGAACCGGTAAAGAAGTGAGAGAAAATCAAATCATGTCAACTGGTGAGTCAGAAGAAAGTGTCTTGCCCAATAATGGGTCATCACAGGGTGTGTCTCTCAGACTGGGAATGTTATTGCCTCATTGTTCTGATTGCATGCAAAGGGAACATACATTCCCTGGCTGTTAGACAGCCTAGAAGGTAAAATACAGTTAGGTTCAAACATATTTGGAGTGAGTTTTTAATGATTCTAGCTGATTGCACAACCAAAATGCACCTGAAAACAGGTATGGGTGGTGGGCCTCCGCTCAGATGCATTACCACCTCTCACAGGTGTCCAGCAGGGCTTTGTACTTGGCCCAACACTTTTCAACATTTACATCAACATCATGTTATTGGTAACATTAACCATTTGTACATCTACCTCCTCATTCCACACTGCACTGACAAGTTTTACTAATACTCAAAATGCTCTTTCCAGTCTACAGTTATCACGGAACATAATCAAAACTCGGTGTGGGTCGTCAACAGAAACCTACCACAAATTGAGAACTGCAGCAATATTCTGTCATGGTTCTGCTGCTCAATATGTCATTTACTACAAATAATTAGGAATCTGGCTTGAAGGTTGAGTGACATTTGAAACACACATCAACACTCTTCTCTTTAAAGTTACTGTACTTCCAATCTAGGCTCTCTTTACGTGAATAAATCCTCATGAACAGATTTTGCTCAACTGCTCCTCTTTAAAATGACTCTCCTCCCAATCTTAAGGCCATGCAAACAGCTATGCGTCAGAAACCAAGTGAAATCTGGCACAGTGTACAGGATCTAGCAACCAGTTTTCATGAGTGGCTGATGGCCGTGGCATTTAGAAGAATTTCAGCCAAAGTTAGCTAGTAACCTTGCGGTTAGCACGTCTGCCTCACAGATTTAGTGAGTGAATTATCAGTTCTGGCCTTCCTATTTGAAGTTTGCTTGTTCTCGTGGGACTTGCATGTGTTTTCTTCTGGTACTTTGGCTTCCTTTTCTCTTTCCAAAAACAAAACATGCAGGTTAAATTCATTGAAAACAAAAAAATCCCTCGTGGTGAATGTAAGTAAATAGCTGTTAGCCTAAATGTGTCCTGTTATTAGCGAGCAATCAGTCCATGGTGTACGCCCTCTTCTTCATTTGAAGGATATTCGTTTTTGCAAGCCAAGTCATCGAAAAATATAATCGCTATTGTCGTGAGGTGTCAAACTGCACTCCAAACTCCATCGTATCGAGAGGTCTTTCTTATTGGGGTGAGGAAATCTAAAAATAAATCATAGTAAATCCTTTATTTCATATTCAGAGGGGGAAAAAGCAACTGTGTTCCGTACCACGAAGGTCAGGACCAAGCTGAAGGGTGACTTAAGCTGGATGAACCGCAACAATGACGCTGAGGATGAACCTGCAGAAGAGAAGCCATGGTAAGGTTCCCGAGCTGGGCTTGCAAGCCACCCTCACTCAGAAAGTGGGTCTGGAGACCCCAAGCCCTTCGCCGCAGCTGGGCCTCAGTTCAAAACGAACTGTCCAATCAAATCATTTACTGGCTGTGACATATCCTTTGTGAGCAATTCCACTCTTGGACGGTGGAAGTCCATCCTCATAAGATTCACAATGGCACCTGGGAGAGACAATTGTTTGTTTCATTCAGCATTAAACTCAGTTTTATATTACCAGAAACATGGTGAGTCATTAAAACCTCAGCAGCTGATGGCACAGAAAACATCCGTCCATCCATCCATTTTCTGATCCTCACAAGGGTCGCGGGGCTAGCTGGTGCCTATCTCAGCTCGGCCCTGGAATTATTTCAAAAGACTTTTTTTCTTTCTTGACGTCACATCGCTGATTGGTTCATTTTGCTGTCTGTATGATCATGTTTGCCCCGCCTCAGAAATACGCTTGATGCAACTACCCACCACGCTCAGTCAATGGTACATCCATGAGTCTGGATTTCCAGGCTAAAGATTCCCTGGACCACCTCTCATTACACTTCTCAACACCACATTTGAATCCAACATGGCTTTATGTGTCCCTGAATTCATTTTTGATGCCCATTTGGAAACAAAAATGTATTTCTTTTTATTTACTTAATTTATTTTGCATCACATGTGGGCGCTAGTTTTATTTTTTGTTTTTAAGTTTGACTTACGGTGGTCGACTGGTTAGCACGTCGTCTTAACAGTGCAGAGGTGCACGGTTCGATTCCGGACCCCAGCCTTCCTGGGTTGCGTTTACATGCTCTCCTCGGGCCTGCGTGGGTTTTCTCCAGCTACTCCGGTTTCCTTCAAATTTCCAAAACCATGGATAGTAGGTTAATAGAGCACTTCAAATTGTCCCCAAGTGTGATTATGAGCATGAATGGTTGTTTGTCTGTGTGTGCCCTACGATTGGCTGGCGACCAGTTGAGGGTGTACCCCACCTACTGCCCGAAGACAACTGGGATAGGCTCCAGTACGCCTGCAACCCCCGTGACGAAAAGCAGCTTAGAAAATGGATGGATCGAAGTTTGACTTATAAAAGCTTGTGTCATACAGATTGTTTATGTTGTAATTTATCACTGTGGCATTTCAGAAAAAATTCCACCTGTTGTGGAACCTAATCCTTAATTCATAATAACTACTAAATATATTACCATATTACATATTAGCTATAGAAAAAACAAGGGCAGATTCAAAATCAGTACAAAAAATAAATCCAGAAAAGTTAACTTGCATCTCTGATTAGAAAATTTGGTGGAAATTTGTTGAGCAGTCTTATTTGCATGGATACAACGCTTACTCCATGAACTGAACAGATTGAATCTAGTGATTGTGTGTTCATGCAGGATGGCAGAAATAAGGGCCAGACGCCAGAACGGAGCAACATCTAGTCCGGTGTCTTCACCGACTTCTACTGCACCAAAAGCACGCACCAAGTCTGACAGTGAAAAGTAAATGACTTGTAAATTACCATTTACTACAGTATTTCATCACTTGGAAAACACGGCCCAATATGTGCTGATATCAAATCTTTGTTTTGAATTTAGATCGCCATCCTCGGGATTTATGATCAGGTAAAACATAGTAGAACTAATGAACAATTTACAATTTTTGACAGTGAGTGAGAACACCTGTTGACCCATCATTATTGTTGTCCGTACAGGGGTGTTTTCAACAAGCCCGTTTCATCTTCTACGAGTACTTCCAATGGCATTAGGTAAGCGTTACAGCTCTGATTAATACCACAGCAAGCAGTGCACCAGACACAATCTAATAGCACCCAATACTAGAGGGTTGAAAAAGAAGACAAATTAAAAGTCTTCAATATAGAGAATGTTTGTGCGCCACAGACTTAATCTTGAAGGTAGCTTCACTGGAAAGGAGCCTGATCACTGATGGCTCTGCTTTCCATTCTGCCTTGAGAGACGTGAACTGGGAGAAGAGTGTTCTGGTTGACTTGTCAGGCCCTTCAAGCTCTTAAGGCACTGGTACAGTTAGTACTTTGTAGCTGAGGAGATTCAGTTCAAGCAGCAATCAAACAGTAGACTTTTGGACCTAGCAGAGTAACTTTACAGAGCAGCTGAAGCAACCGGTTAATAGAGATGCAATAATGCTAAAAGAAAAAAAATAAAAAATGCTATATATATATATATATATATATATATATAGAGCGGCTGGATAGCTCAGTTGGTAAGGCATCGGTTTGGCGTACGGGAGACGGTGATTCGAATCCCGCTTGGGGGCAAAATGAGCACATAACACCA